ATAAAAACTATACTATCTCTCAAGTTGGACCAAACTGCAGTCAGTGTGCAAAATTTTACTGAAATCAGTTAGGTACTCGTAGTTAAGGTGTTCATCACGGACAAACAATGTGACGTGAGATTTTTTTAGTGAATTGGTCTTATAATAATTAAAGATGTAGTTTAATCACCAAAGAATTCGCATATCACTTGATTGCTCAAAATAAGTATATCTTTTTAGTAAGCATAAAGCAACACCGGCCACTGGCGGACTCTACAGTAATCTATGGAGTAGCCATAACGTTTTTTCCCGATACAGAACTGCGTGTCATTTTTTGCAGGCTGCCCACATAAAAGCAATAGTCTGTCACTACGAAACTCACATACATACACATTACATATAACAATAAAAACAATAAACTAACAATTAAACACGCACACACACCAACATACACACACACACACACACGCACGCACGCACGCACGCACGCACGCAAGCACGCACGCACGCATGCACGCACGTACGCACGCACGCACGCACGCATGCACGCACGCACGCGCGCACGCACGCACGCACGCATCCACGCACGCACTCACGCACTCACACACATGTGTATGTATATTGCATTGTTGATGTGCTTGTAAACAAACTCGAATCAACACGAGAGTAATTACAGAATTTTTTATTAAAAAATGTGCTTAAAAATTACTTATATATAAAAAGCAATGCTATCTTTTGTAAATTTAACTAGACCGAATTTTTATAAGAAGTAGTTTCAGCCGCGCAACTAGATTTAATCTAGTGATTAGTGCGGCTGCAACTAGTTTTATTGTACTCATTGGACCGTGAGGACTTATATTTTGATAGAGGGGAACGCCTGCGTATCGCTACTCCCCTCCGATCCGCCAGTGGCCCGTGTTGCTCTGTAGTAGTAAGTATTTCAGAACTTCAGAATTAAATACTTTTTAATATTTGAATCATCGTTTGAATTTCTAAGCGTCGGGTACACCTTATACAATTTTTCTTTAAAAATTGAGCAATCATTACCTCAAGACTACGTACAGGATAGATGAGTTATGAGATTAAAAGTAAACCGTGAACTATCTATTAGCGTAACTACAGACCAAAAATAAATATTACTAGCTATTCCCCGCGACTTCGCGCGGGTGCATTTAGGGTTTTAATTTTTTTGCAAGGAAGCTTTATTCTGTTTCTAAAATAAAAATAGGCTAAGTTACTCCTTATGACATCAGTTACCTGCCAGTGAAAGTCCCATCAAAACCGGTCCAGCCGTTTCGGAGATTAGCCGGAACAAACAGATAGACAGACGGACAAATTTTTGTTATAGATACCGTATATACTTTCATATATATTTAGTAAAAAAGCTGTTATTTTGACATTACAAACAGACACTTCAATTTTATTTATTTGTATAGATTAAAAAAGGAGGATAATACACTCGATGTGAAACAATTAAATTAGTATTTTGTTTGTTCGATTTATATATTAGGTACTAGTTGTTCTCCGCCACTTCGCCCGCGTGTTATTTGGGGTTTTAATATTTTTGCACGGAACCCTAATTCTTTTTCTAAAATTAAAGTAGCCTAACTTACTCCTTGTGACATCAGCTATCTGCCAGTGAAAATCCCGTCAAAATCGGTCCAGCAGTTTCAGAGATTAGCCGGAACAAATAGACAGACAGACGGACAGACAGACAGACAGACAGACAAAAACTTTAAAAATTGTATTTTTGTTATTAGCGCCGTATATACTTTCATATGCATTTAGTAAAAAGCTGTAATTTAGACATTACAAACAGACACTTCAATTTTATTTATTTGTAAAAATTTTATTAAAATTTTAAATTGTATTTTTGTTATAAGTACCGTATATACTTTCATACGCATTGAGTAAAAAGCTGTAATTTTGACATTACAAACAGATAGTTCAATTTTATTTATTTGTATAAATGTAAAATATTTACAAAGAACATTATTCTAAATTCTATAACAAGTGGGATGCTGTGCGGGAAGTAAAGACTGTGTAAAAACCTCTGAAAGAGACGGAGTAATAGCCGAAATAAGAATTATGAATTTTTTATTTGCCGCTATTCAACCATGACCCCCATGACATCCTCTACATGATGGGCTATTAAAACTGACTAGGCCTAAAGTTCGAGTCACCCCCAAATCATTTCTAGTCTTTACTTCCAATTAGAAATAACTTAATTCTTAAGAACTTGTCCATGCGTAAGAGTTGTTTAATTGTAAAGGGTCAGGTTCACTACGTAGCAATTGTAGAGCAATTGATTAGACGAGCATTCATGTAAGCAGCAATAATAAGTCGTCAGCAACGGTACATTTAATAAATGACCAGGATGACCAAGCTTCTAGCTAGTGACGGGACACATCTTAATATATTTGTTATGACGAAAGTTACCATTTGCACTCACCCAGACTGACCCTTAGACAGAAAGGGTTCCACCACCTAAGTTTAGGCTATACGTGGGGTACACTGAAAGTTTTGTTGAATTTATAAATAAATCAATTTATATATAAACTAACATATTTACTGTTTTTCAAGTATTCTCACTTTTTCATCCATTCAAACCATTTTTGAAAATAAAGGACCATTAGTCTAAGTCTGTTTTTGGTTTGGGTCTGTGATGGGTCATGTATTCCTCGTGCGGGTAGAAAGCTATCGGGGCCTCCTCTGGCTCCGTAAATGTTGAAACTATCATGAAATTTGTAAGTTTTAAAAAAATAAAGACATCGCATGGTACGAGATTCGGACTGCGCTGCGTGCGGTATGGGTCACGAGCTCCATATTTTCAGAAGCGAAAATGACTTTGCAAGACAAACTTTTGCGATGTGCGCCAAAGCATTGTCATGATGTTATAGGATGCTAGTGTTTAGTCGTTTTTCATTAACTTTTTCGAAGACACTATGGAAACAAATGATGGTGTACATTTCGGCATAAACTTTCTTTTGCTCATCAAGTGAGATTGTGCAGGACTCTGGGCGAAGCGAAAAGAACGCAATAATTTTTTTTCCACGTTTGCACTGCATGCCTGCGTCAGTTTTGTTGGTTGGTTGACGATTTCTAACACCCATACAAAAGACTGCTGCTTTCTTTCTGGAATGTAACAATATATATGTTTTGAGTTCCTTTGATTTCCTATTATAATGTTTAATGTTATACAAGTATTGAACGTCTGTTTTTTTGCATCAATCAACTCGAGCCCGTTTTCGTTCTGGGGTGAGTTCATGAGGAAATTTTGTAACCTTTAAATGTTGACGTAACTTTTTTTTCATATTGGTTCATACCAATAACGGAATGTCCTCGAATCTCCAAATAGGTGATGCGGCGCGTTTCTCCAATTTTCACCTGACAGTAGCCACATTTTTCTTAGTGATGGCCTTCACGAATTTCATCATAGAGAGGGACACTACCACGATCAAATTCTGCGTACTTACGCTTTACGGTGCTCAAATGAGATGCTTCCCTCGCAAAACGATTTTGAAGACGAACAGTGCGGAGAGAGTGAACTTTTGAAATTATAAATAAATTTTATACGTGGTAGAGCCTTGCTAGCACGAATGGGTTGGCTCGACCGGGGAAGGAACACTCTCTCACAGAATATCAGCGTAAAATAGCAGCTTAATGCTGCTGTGTTTCGTATGGTGAGTGTACAAAACCGGAGAATCTTTTTACTGTGAAAGAGGTATTCGATCTTAGTCCTCACGGCTGACAACGCATCTGCATTTTAATTCGCAAACGAAGATAGATGTTGATGTCTATGGGCCACAGCAACCACTTACCATCAGGTGGACTGTGTGCTCGTTTGTCACCCTTATTCTATAAAAAAAAATCATCGTCCTACAATTATTTCTCGTTTATTCAATTTTACTAGGGAAGGCGACTTCCCGCCAAAAATGATTAAAATCAATCTAATATGAGTTTATTATGTTTTAAAAATTCAAACATTTATGTGCGACCAAAAGCGCAGGACCTTCAGTATGACCTATACGCGTATACATTACTTTTTCCAATTTTCAAAATGAAAAGAGGCTTAAAATTTGTATTTAAGGAAAAGTACAAAATTATAGTTATAGCCTATAGAAGTCCCACTGCTGGGCACAGGCCTAGCGTTTTAGAGCAAGGAAATGTCCGACGCGCTCCCCTTATAAGTGTAGGCAAACTTGACATATATTCAAAGTATTTATTATTATATTAAAATTTATTTTTTTATTTTTTACTCTTGCCGGTTTCCTCACGATGTTTTCTTTCAAGACCGAGCACGCGGTAAATCAGCACTTAAAATTGCAGTTAACTATCATTCGCGCAGTACTTTGAGCTTTACAGTGAGTTTTTTTATAGGATAGAGTGACAAACGAGCACACAGTCCACCTGATTGTAAGTGGTTGCTGTGACCCATATACATCTACATTTATCCTCAATTAATAAGCAAAATGCATATGCGTCGTAACCCGTGAGGACTAATATGGAATGCCTCTTTTCTAGAAAAATGGGTCTCCGGTTCTCTACACTCACCATACGAAACACAGCACCGTGAAGCTGCTATTTTACACTGGTGAGAGCGTGGTCCTTCCCCGGTCGAGCCGACCCATTCGTGCTACAACTATACTACTAATATAGCTGCAGCATGGCTCTACCACGTATAAAAATGCTTAGCCACTGAGCTATCACTCAAAAAACTACTAATATAGACAAAACTAGAATTTAATAAACGAAATTCATTGAAAGTTTTACCGTTAGATATTATTAATGATATTATGTCATTTAAATCATATAAGATTAAAAATAGAAAACAGATTTTCTTTTCTTCAATATTTCTTCTTTTGTTGCGCGGTGTCCGGATTTCGTGCAAAATTCATGGGAACCCATAATATGAATGAGATGATCGATGATACGGCATACGAAGGTGCGGGAGGTAAGAAGGCGGGAGGGCCGCAGGGATAGGGAAGGTTGGGAGGCCGCGGGATTGGATTCATCTCAGTACAGTACTACTTCAGTCGGCGCTCCGCCGACCGCCGCGATAGTGAACCTTTATTCATTATTTAAAAAAGACGAAGATTTCAACGACAGCGAGCCCATACACTCGACTGGCTTCTAACAAATTGTCAAGTATGTTTATTGTATATACACGATCTGCATGTTATTTTAAAGGAATTTGTGAAACGAAAACGTACATACAGTTAAAAAATCATCGCATCATCAACGTATTCGGTCGGTTTTATGGTGAGCGATTAGTCCCAGAGCGATTAGTAATCATCATAAAAACATTTTAACTTACTTCAAAAAAAGAAAGACGTACTCACTTCAACTGTATGTTTTTTTATGTGTGTTACATCCGAACTTTTTTCTAGCTCAAACGCTTTTGATGTTTTTTTTTTATTTGAATGATTCTCATATGGTCGTATATAAATTTGAATAAGATCTGACCAGTAGTTTTTGAGTTATCCTTAATAATGCGTATTTAATTGACTTCGACGATGATGATGATATTCTCATTTTATTTATATTGAGGTCGGTTGTACAAAATTTTTAATCTTATCACTTGTCTTATTGGTTGCATTCAGTACGCCTTTATTAAAAAAAAAATATTACAATTTGTGACGTCAACTCAGTTATGGATACAAAATGTTGAACATTGGTTAACTCTTTTTATTAATTTTGTATGTTATGTTCGATATCGTACCGTTCAAGATAGAATGTCCTGCAGTGGACTCTTGGGGGCTAATAAAGAAAAAGATAATTTTATTAAGGATTTTAGTTGATTAAAATAAAGTTATAATATTTAGCTAAAATTAAAAGTAAGTAACTTCGGGTGACTTGAGAAAAGCCATCACTCCGTTTCTTCCCGTGGATGTCGTAAGTGCTGTCTACATGGGAAATAATAAAAATAACTTATTTTTGTCTTACAGAAAAGGACCGAGAGTCTCTTACAGGAAACTTTAAAGATAAAATTATAAACTTTTTATTATATTAACTTTGGCCTTTCAGTATATTTACAAAAATTTAATGTATTTTCACAAAAACAAAGGTAGTTTTAGTATAAAAAAGTGATATACACTCTGTAAACACTAGGAACAAACACAAGCTAGTGATAGCAGTTTCTCGACTCCACAGAGTCAGTATTTCATTTTTGGCGCGTTATACGCTATTACAACAAAGTCCCAGAAAATATACATCTCTATTACCAAGTTTAAATATTTTATTAAAGAAAAACTAAAAAGGGTTATTATAATATAAATGAATACATGGTTCATAATAACGCCTGGGAATGACGTGGTCGCTTCCAAGCTGTTTCTAAAATAAATTTTGTAAATAGTTTGTATAGTGGAATTTTACGAGCTGTTGATGAATAAACTCCGATACCGTGTATATATTATGTATATATCAAAAGTAAAATATCATTCAACACAAAAGAAGCCGGAAAAATCGCAAAAACATACGTATGTCAGTAAAATCAGATGGACCGCCCGCCCACTGTACTACGTCTATTTGTACTGAAGTTTTTAAATAGAAGTATTTACATAACTCACTAGCATCCCGAAATTTACGTACTCGCTTGTAGGCGTGGCAACTAACGCGTGTGTTACATCAAAAGGTATGTAAACTCCATTATAATTGTAATATATATAGCATTAATTACTAAAATTTAACGGAAATCGCTAAAAATAGATTTAATCTCTAAAAATTTTCGCTCATTCGCTCTTATTATACATTATTCGCTCATTAGTTCACATTTATTTAAAACATATTTTGTAACATGTGACACTTATTGTACTGCTACTATTAAATACATTAGGTTCAATAAGAATACTGTAATCTGAGTTAAATGATAAATTTCGCAAGTAACTCTTTTCGCCATTGCCAGAATATAAAGAAAGCATTATTACATCTACTACACTTTTCATTTAAGATTGAATTACAGGCGTTGCCTGGGTAGGATCTACTAATTTGGCGTTGTTTATATATATTTTGTTGTTTCAATTTTATCTATTGTGTAAATTAAAGGTTGCTAGGTTATGAAAAATATAACAAGAGAAAAGTTTATTTCAATTTTATGAAAGAAGTGGTAGAGCCATGCTTCAGCTGTATTAGTAGTATAGTTGTAGCACGAATGGGTCGGCTCGACCGGAGCAGGGCCACGCTCTCACAGATACCAGCGTCAAAGAGCAGCTTAACGCTGCTGTGTTTCGTATGGTGAGTGTAGAGAACCGAAGTCCCTTTTTACTGGAAATGAGGCATTCCATCTTAGTCCTCACGGGTGACAACGCATCTGCATTTTGTTTGATGTAGATGTCTATGGGCCACAGCAACCACTTACCATCAGGTGGACCGTGTGCTTGTTTGTCACCCTTATCCTATAAAAAAATGAAATATCCTGGCCAATTACTACCACGGTGGCTAACGAATACTGTCAAAAGTATGGGATCAAAGGCATTTTTATCAAAAGTAGTTCTTTTCCGAAATTTCTTACTTATATAGTAAGCCCTGTCAAATTGTAAAAACACCAGCATTAAAAAGGTAAATACCAATAAAAAACTTAGTAAGTCGCTTTGATCGTCGTTGAAAATCCTTTGTTGAAAATCGTTGAAGTCTTTAGAAAATGCTAGGATTATTTAACTATCAATGCGCCCTCCTAGATTTTTAACTTCGAGATTTTCTAACAAGTACTACGCTATGCATTAATACTACATTAATACTATATTTGTCGCGGCACACCTTGGTCTAACTTTCACAAACGACGAACATCATTACCATCATCATCACAGCCCATCACAATCGCACGAACATAGCTCTCCCCCAAGAATACCACAAATCACGGTCTTGGGCCTGCTGTATTAATCAACTTCCTGCATCTTTTGCCAGGTCGTCATCACACCATCAAGTGGAAGACCCTTCACTTAGCTAATGACGAGTATAAATATAGACAGCAAAAATTTTAACGGTGGTAGAGTCACGCGGCAGTTTTTGCTGTTGTACGTATGGGCCGGCTCGAGCCGCGTTGGTACCACGACCTCACAGAATACCGGCGTGAAGTAGAAGCTGAGCATCCACGACCATGTTATTTCACTCCTGAGCGTGGGTGCTCAGGCTGCCCCGCGTATTCTGGGGGGGGGGGGGGGCAAAATTCCGCTTAAAACAATAACTGCTCGAGGCAAACTGAGCAGCAACACCAAGGCGACCCCTGCCACGCTGTCCGTGAATTTTTGCAACATCAGGGAACTTCACTCGAACCTAAACGTCGTCCACGTTTACGTATACGTCAGAGAGGACATCTGTTCTTGACGCCTCGGCAGTCTTGAAGGTTCGGACCTGTCCATCCTTTGGCTACGAGTGCCTCTATAGGACCCATAGTGGTAATGCCGAAACAGACCGACTCATCGATCATGTCCAAATGGCTACAGATTCCTTGCTACAACAGGTCCCATCCGCAGAGATCGTGATCCTTGGCGATTTTAACGCCCACCATGCCGAATGGCTCGGTTCACGTTTAACCGATCATGCGGGGAGATCTGTCTGATTATGACTGTGCCATGGCATATAGTCTGACACAACTGGTTACTTGGCCTACGCGGATTCAAGATGTGGAGGATCATACACCTTCCCTGTTGGACCTTCTGCTGACCTCTCATCCAGACGGATATCAGGTTTCTGTCGATACCCCTCTCGGCTCTTCGGACCATTGTCTGATCCGGAGTGTGGTGCCACTCACGCTCCCCTCGCGGTTGCAGGTTGCCGCCGTGTTTGGCATTACAGGTCGGTGGATTGGGACGGAATGCGGTCTTTCTTTGCATCCTACCCATGGTGGCGGGTTTGCTTCTCGCCGGAAGATCCCAGCGCTGTTGCTGACTTTGTCAATGATGTGGTGCTACAGAGAATGGAACTATTTATTCCATCATCTGTGGTACCTATCGGAGGCAGATCTCAGCCTTGGTTTGGCCGCTCCTGTAAGACTGCATTACACAGTAAGCAAGAGTGTTATCAAGCCTGGCCTGCGGCTTCGGCGACTCGGGATGTAAACACCAACATGGTTACTTAACTTCGCCTCCAGGTCCTTCCAAAGAGTTATTGCTAAGGCAAAGTCAGAGCACATCGGCAGAATTGGCGAGAAACTAGTTCGCCTTCCTTCCGGAGCCAGTGCATTCTAGTCTCACGCCAAGGCTGTCCAAGGGAATTTCTGTAAGCCATCACTACCATCTCTGCACAGAGAGGACGACTCACTGGCCCACGCCGCAAAAGAGAAAGCCGACCTTTTTGGCTCCCTTTTTGCATCCAACTCGACTCTTGATAACGGGGGGAAAACACCGCCGACCATCCCGCGGTGTGAGTGCTCCATGCCGGATGAGCGGTTCTCAAAGTGCTCGGTTCGCAAAGCACTCCTCTCCCTGGACATCCACAAGTCGAGTGGGCCTGACGGAATCCCCCAATTGTGCTGAGGACGTGTGCTCCGGAGTTGGCACCAATTCTAACGCGTCTTTTCCGGTACTGCTACTCCCTAGGCGTAGACCCGAAATCATGGAAGACACGTTTTGTCCACCCGATCCCTAAAAAAGGCGATTGCTCAGACCCGTCCAACTACAGGCCTATCGCCATCACTTTCTTATTCTCCAAGATAATGGAATCCATTATTAACTGCCAGCTCATGCGGTACCTTGAGGATCACCAGCTGATTAGTGACCGCCAATACGATTTTCGTCGGGGTCGATCAGCTGGTGATCTTCTGGTCTACCTGACTCATAGATGGGCGGAGGCAGTAGAGTCCAAGGGGCATAGCAGTGCGATAAAGGAAGGAAGACGGTATGCATCGTTTTGTATATGTTTCATAAAACGGAGAATATTCATAAATTTAAAAATAATTTACATCATATTTAACTAAGAAATGTTATTACTCAATCAATTAATATTCAAGCAATGCATCGATAGGCATATTACGATGACATAATATATCTTTTTCAAAGATGTTACCTGTACTATATTACTTGTTATCATCAATCAATATTGACAATATATTACTTGTATATGATTAAAAAATATGATGCTTATACAAATAAAATAAATTTAAATTTGAATCAATCTTGATAAAATTATTTCTTGTAAATGTTACTTATTAAGTGGCGAAGCTTGCGAAGTTATTGATTTCACGATGTATGTCCGTCTGTCCGTCTGTCCGTCTGCCCCACGATTATCTCGAGAACGGTTTTGAATTTTCAAATTCTGTTTTCAGCAATCGATTACTGATCACCCAGGCATCTGAACCTCCTATTTTGAAACTGATTGCTCAACGGCAACCGTTAGAAACCGCTACAAAGCTGATTGCTTCGCCACTTTGCTATGCTGTTAGCTTGCTAGGTTTATTTTAACAAGAGATTCTATTTATTTCATTAAGGTAATCTTGTTCGCTAGTGTGTATCGATGAGTTTTTAAATTACCGATAATATTTTCATACTTAATAGCATCTTTATTATCGAAATACAATTAATAATAGAAATACAATTAATTGAATGAAAGGAAATAAAGGAGCCAATTAAAGTGAAATGAATGGAAATACCCGTATATTGAGTTTATCTACCGACTTCAAAAAGCAGACGGTACTAAATTCGACTGTATGTTTTTTTTTCTTATTTTTATGTGTGCCTCAAATCTGGGTGAACCGATTTCGATGATTCTTTTTTTATTTTAAAGCTGGTGCTTCTCATGTAGTCCTATATAAATTTGATCAAGGTCTGACCAATAGATTTTGAGTTATTTTAATAATTTATGTTGAAGTCGGTTGTACAAAATTTATAACTTTAAATTATTTTACATACAGTAATTGTCGTTTTCGTCGATATAATTCTTCTCAAACAAAATGAAGAATTTGAGAATCATCTTTCTCAAGACATTTGACCTAACATAAAGTGTACAAAGATTACCAAAACTGTAATCCCGAATTTAAACGTAATCTTGAATCATAGGCAGAAAATAATTAAAAGAAAATTTTAAAGAATTTTTGCACATGTCAAATGATGCGAATTAAAGGGAAATTATAAAAAAGACTAGTTCTATTTATGATATATTTCTATCTACCTCCTTGAACTGAATCTCAGAAGGCAATTCTTAACTTTCTGGTTGAAACTACCCGTAAATGACTTCACAATTGACTTATATAATGGTGGTCAATTAATGTCAACATAAATTCATTAAACTTAATATTACTTTGTTTTTTTACTGATTTATTAACCTTTCGATATGCACATACAAAGAATTAGATCGAACAAAGCAGATGGCACATGTACTCAAGAATCTTGCGTAGGTACATGTGTCATCTACCTTATTCGATCTAATAAAGATACCAATTCAGAACTCATCGAGCGCACATAATATTGTGTTTTGATAGAGGATATGACGGAACCCAAGTTAAGTTTATGTTAAGTCTATCAATTTTTATAGTAAGGGGCATAAAACATGTGATACACTTTTATTATAATATCAATACTATTATATATTTATTGGTTATTACAATATCTAACAATTATAATTTTTTAACTTAACATAAGAAGTTTTATAGGCGCTTTCTTGCGCTCTCCTGTAAAATTTAGTTTAAAGCACTTACGGGGTTACACTAGATAATTGAACCTGTACTTCTACAAAACGGTGCAATACTCGTACCAATTATTATTGTCGATCAAGAACTGTTTACCATAGAGTTACAAAAGTATTATTACATTGGGAATTGTGAAAATAGTAAAAAGTATTTTCTTCCCACACGTAACGTAGTTATTGCTTACTAGCTGTTCCCCGCGACTTCGCCCGCGTGTAATTTAGGATTTTAATTATGTTGCGCGGAGCTCTAATTCTTTTTATAAAATATAATTAGACTAAGTTATTCCTTATAACATCAGCCATCTGCCAAAGAAAGTCCCGTCGAAATCGATCCAGCCGTTTCGGAGATTAGCCGGAACAAACAGACAGACATACGGACAAATTTTTGTTATAGGTACCGTATATACTTTCATATATATTTAGTAAAAAGCTGTTATTTTGACATTACAAAAAGACACTTCAATTTTATTTATTTGTATAGATTAAAAAAGAAGGATAATGTACTCGATGTGAAACAATTAAATGAGTATTTTGTTTGTTCAACTTCTATATTATGTTTGTCTCCTAACTTCATGGACACAGAATCAGGGAGAAAATAACCAATTATTTTTTTGTTTATCGGCACATGTTTTCGTTCCTAAATCTTGGTTCTTACGTGTTTGACAACCAGCAAATTTGGCAGCCATTGTTGTAGACACTCCTTTACGCTGTCAATCACCAAGGTCGGGCAGTATGTTGCAAATCAACATCCAAGCCAAGTTATTTTTACCGAACTTTTGTTACTAGCAACAAAGATTAGTTGACAAAATGATTTCACTATCTGTACATTTGTAAAGCTTTGGTTTTCTAAGATTGCGGTGCCGCTACATGACGGTCGTAATAAAGCGGTGAATGACGTCACTATAACGTTGTCTATAATATATTTTGGTCCCATAAAGCGGACGTCTTTGCGATGAAGATCCGTGGCAAGTTTCATCACTGCTACAGCGTTTATTAAAATAATATTCCATTAAGCTATACCATAGAGAAAAGAATAAGAATTCAAAAAAATCAGTGACCATGATTTATCAAAATAAAACTTTCGAAACTCCGTAAGAACGGTTGATGATAAATGTATAACAGTGAAGGCTCCCATCACCAGTAGATCATTAGATTATAACTACAAAGATAATTATTCAATGTTAAACGCAGATACCTATTTAATAACTAAAAAGTAAAAAAGGGCAACAGAAAGAAATGATACGTTCAATAAAACTGCACTAAAAGTTCTACCCAAACTAAATAATGTGATACCACATACTTTAGTGGGAGTCAAAGCTTTTGCTCTCTACGAAAACCTAATGAAACCAATAACGTAATAACGCAATTTAATAATAAAAGTGCATGGCAACTATATCGCCTCTATGAGACAATCCGTGTGCAGCAGTGGACTGGCTGTAATGAGGGCATCCACGACTTTTTCTGCCACCAGGGCTGCGCCACTAAAAAGTGCGGTATAATATTTGACAGATTTCATAGCGGGGAAGTTAATTTGTTCCGAAAATGTAAAAAATATTTTTTCGTTTTGTACTATTAGCTATATTTTATATTAATAAAACTAAAAATAAATAAACCAAACCACAGATATTCATAAAAGTAGAAAAATTAAAAAATATGTTAAAAAAGTGCACAAAATTAAAGATCAAACCACTGACGCATTGTTTTGTGTATTAATATTCTAGAAACTGATAAACTTTTATTAAAAAACAACTTGTCAATTAAATTCCATTGTGTAACAAAAAAACTTTACCTCAGTGTCAACTAGGTAAAGACGACATCTGGTGAGCAGAAAATTATTAGCCCTCTTTAATGAATAATGTCGATAAAGATTCCAAAACAACAGTTGTTGGAAACGTTGTCTGTTTGTGTGTTGGCTCGACTGGGGAAGGTCCCCACGCCCTCTCAGAAGTAAAATAGCAGCTTAATGCTGCTGGGTTTCATGTGGTGGGTGTAGAGAATCAGACCTTTTTTAATGGTAACGAGGCGTGCTTAGTCCTCACGGATGACAACGCATCTACATTTTGATTCTTAATCGAGGATAGACGTAGATATATATATGAGCCAAAGCACTCACCATCATATGGGCCGTGTGCTCCTCTATCACCATTATTCTATAAACAAATATTATTTTAAGACAGTAACTCAGGCTATGTAACTACTAGTTAGTTGAATGTATTTAGACAGTATATCAATCCGTGTTAATACTGGGTAGTTAAACGTATTGAGACGGTAACGCAGATTGTGTGATTATTAGTCGTACCTATTTAGACAGTAACTCATGCCACTTAACTACTGGAGAGTTAGACATATTTTGACAGTAGTTTAGGCTACTGAGTAGTTAGACGTGTTTAGACAGTAACTAAGGCCGTGTAATTATTGGGTAGTTAGACATAGACAGTAACTTAATAAAGTTAGTTACAGTAATATACTAAAGCGATTGTAATTTAACTTAGAGTTCGCCTTTGCACATCCTAACTGATTGTGGACCCTTAATGCGCAAACGTAACACTCATCTTAGAAACACAGAAGAAATGAAATTGTTCACAGATAAGCAACTCCTTCAATTCATTGCATACATAGGGCTTAACAGTGAACTATAGGCATAGCAGCGATCACGATAGATCTTATAGGTCGCAGTGCTACTGGTCTTTCTAGACCTGCATAGCTAGTTGCACAAAAAAATTACACTTATCTATGAAGTGATAATGTGATTATGCCAGGACAAACTGTGTAATTTGCACTCTAAAAGTATACATAAGCATAGCTAGCGTATATTAATTTCGTTCGTGCGGACGAATATAACAGATTTTCGCAAATTAACGCCTGATTCCGTATCTATTTTTATTGTTACAGACACTTCACAATGGCCGAAAAAATGGAAACTGTTCGGTTGCAGCCTATGTCGAACGACACTGCTCCTACTAGTCCTGATAAGTAAGTCCAATCTTTGTAACTGCTTCTTTATAGTAAATTGTATATTTAAGTCTTTTTCAAATCCCCATCAAATCTATTAATCTAGTCATAGTCCCGTAGGTATCGTAAGAGGTTTTTAGAGATTAAAAAGGAGTGGGAAAAGTCAGGAAGATCCTATGCAATCAAAAGGAAGGCGGTATATATTTAAAATATTCAGGCACTGCACCCCCAGCAGCCTAAAAGGAACAAGAACAAACAATAGTACTAGCACTGCAATCGCCAGGTATGGCGATTGTTAAAAATCCCATAGTCTAGAGAGTTTAGTGAAGAAAGTTGTAGCTTTTATCAAACATTTTAGGAATTGTAGCATACACTGTAGATTAACACTTATTTGTGTAAAAGAAACTTATTAAATCAATTCCAATCGGGATTTCGACCCGAATACAGCACACGACACCATAATGCAATACAAAAAATGCATTTCGGGTGCTAATAGGTTGGCCTCGGTTCTACAGCGCATCGGAAATTTTCGCTGAAGCGAGAGTGGATTGCTTCTACGCGATCGTACTTAAGCGGTGTACATCCCTGGTACGCAGGATTCAGGCCAGCTCCAACCGCATCCTAGTGATGTTCTCGAATAGAGTTGACTATCAGTGCCTGAACCATTGTTGCATGGTTTTTGTACTGGCAAATAAATAATCTGAAATCAACAAAGTTTCTTATTGAAGGATTTTAATTATTTATTTTTATTTAACTTTTATTATGGGGTATCTATAAAGATTTCTCAACTGGTTGGGCAATATAAATATATAATTGTAAATAAACATGGTAAACGTACATAAATATCAATAAAATAAAATAAATACATAAAAGGTACATAAATATATAAAAACCCAACCAAATGGAAGCCCTCGGCAGAGGAGACCAGACGGCCGAGTGTTGGGGGGAAAGGGAAAGAAACCGGCGGACGATGCGGGCGGTATCGAGGAGCACCGCCTTCTGCGTTTGAGCTTGGAGCGGTCCGTCACGGAGTCCCAGTCGCCTCAGATGACCCGAGAGGCTGACCGGAATTAACCCATTCGCAGCGACGACTACAGGTATAATTTCGGTCACCTCGTGAGCCAGGTCCAGATATTTAGTCAGCTTATCTGTTTCGGCTTTCACGAGGTTCTTGTCATAAGGAATGGTAATGTCGACCAAAAATATCCTTGACTGTGCCCGGTCCATCAGCACAATATCAGGCTTATTCGCAAGAATAGTCCTATCTGTGATGATGGCCCGGTCCCAGTAGAGCCTGGCGCGGACATTTTCGAGCACGGCTTCCGGCAAGTACTTATAATACGGCAGTTTCCGATCCACGAGACCGTATTTTAGAGCGAGCTTCTGGTGTAGAATCCTGGCTACTAAGTTGTGCCTGTGCAAATACTCAGAGTTAGAAAGCGCCGAACAACCGGAGATGACATGCCTATTCCTATGCATCCTGTGCGACGTCATTATAGTGCGGACTTTTCTGTCCAGAGCGTTCAGTTCGGTCTGAGACCACCTGAGCATGCCATAGGTATACATGAGAACAGGCATGATCCAACCGTTATATGCGTGCGTCTTATTCAGAGCGGACAAAAGGCTGTTAAGCACTTTGGTCAAGCGTGCATAAAACACATCGCAAACTGACTGTTTCATACCCGCCTCATCTACACCGACGTTCTGTGACATACCCAGGTATCGGTATGTTTCAGCCTCGGAAAGAGTCCTTATGTTGATGGGCATAGATAAGTCTATGCCCTCAGAGTTAGCAACCCTTCCCCTTTCAACATGGAGGACCGCACACATGTCCGTCCACAGCCCCATTCTAATAGAATTGCTAAATTCACAAGTGATGTTTAGCAATTCCATAAGATGAGAGCGACTGGAGGCGAATAACTTGAGATCATCCATATAGAAAAGGTGGGTTACTTTTGTACCTCCTTTCCGAAGCTGAAATCCCCTTCCAGTAAGGTAGTGAGAGGGTTCAGAGAGAGGCAGAACCAGATTGGACTCAAACAATCGCCCTGGAAGATATCCTTATGTGGTTCTCCGCAGCCATCATCCGCTCGCCTAGATGACAAAGGATCGTACTCCATTGCCCCATACACTGCCCGAGGAAGTCTCGAACTGTACGATTGACCTTATACAGCTCGGTGACCCTCTTAAGCCATGTATGAGGCACCGAGTCGAATGCCTTTTTATAGTCTATTCAGGCGGCGGAGAGGTTCCGACGGTTGCGTTTAACCACCTTGCCAATGACCGCGTTAATGAGGAGTGGTTCCTTGGTTCCACGACCACCGCCCCAACATCCATTTTGAGCGCGCGACATCACCTGATTTGAGTTCAGGTGACGAGTGATTCTCGCGCTCAAAATGGATGTTAGTGTATTGTATATGGTAGGTAGACACGTTATGGGGCGGTATTTGCTCAGGTCTGTGGAATCCCGGTCTTTAGGAACCAAATGAGTGATCCCAGTAGTGAAGAGGCTCGGGAGCGACTTTTGATCGAGAGCCTCTTGAAACTGTCGGGCGAGCACAGCGTGACACACCACGAAGCCCTTCAGCCAGTAGTGATGCAGCCCGTCGAGCCCCGTACTTTTCCAGTTCGGGGCCCTACGGACCGCTTCAGCTACGTCATCCGGCGTTATGATGACGGGGTCCATGGGCGTAACATTCGCACACTGACTCGCCACAGCTTCCGTGCAAGGGCACTCGCTTTGGTTTACGGGCTCTGACCACAGGCCGCGCCAGAATGCGATAGCGTCAGCCTGATTCGGTGCTCAGCCCGTTCCACGTACCATTGGTCGCTCCAATGATTCATAGAGCCTCTTCTAATCTCTCTGGAAGAGACGATTCTGGTTGAACCGTGTCGACCTCTCGGTATATCGCCGAATCCGCTTCCCCCAAGCAGCGATTCTCTGCTTCAGGTCGTCTATGCGCTCCGTCAGTTTTTGCGTTATATCCGGCTGGGACAAACTGATGTTTGTCCCAGCAAACGCCATCCTGACGGTGCGCACAATTCGCGGCCTATTATTGCCCGACCTGAAGCTTATCAGCCTGCCGATGAGGGCCCTTGCCTTTGCGATACGGTCCTCAATCCTTCTTCTTCAGGCTGGGATGTCGCTTCTTTGTCTAGTAGCACGTCCAGCCATGGGAAGTTTAGCGCCAATAATACGGCAAACTGCCAGTGCAGCGCCAAAAAGAATTGAGTCCGTCTCGCAAAGGTCTCGGCTAGCTTCCAAATAGGTCACCAGCATTGGGTTGAGAGCCCTCACGACAGCCCGATTCCGCTTGCTTAGGGGTTACGGGGGTTACGGGGAATTCGCGGTCGATTCTCGAGAGGCGTACTGCGCGTTTCCCTAAACGTCTATGGGTGGCGGCATCTACATGTGCGGGTTGCTCTGCAACTCGTAGAGCCGCATCTCCTGTCGTAGTATTTTTATTCGACAAAGGAATAGCCTCACGTCGTAGCCGTTCGAGTTCGGCGTCATCAAATATTTTTGAGCGCATGATGTACCGAACTCGGTCTGCCAGGTTTTGCTCGGTAACGGTAATAGACAGCTTCAGCTCAGCAAATAGTCGATGCATCCTAGCCCGATACGCAAAACCTCCAATTTCTCCCCCTTTCGCCCCAAAATACGCCCGCAATGCATTTTTGTTCATTTGTATTGACCAACGCATGCAGCGTACTCCACCAGTGGCGGGTGTTGATTGCTGGGCCCGCGAAGACCCTGCCAACACCAAGCCAGCTGGTGGGGATGATGGATGCGAGGGGCTGCTGGGTGGTCGTGCAGCACTTCACGCTCGGCAGGCGGTTCGCATGCTGTCGCGTCCAGCGCCAGCTCCAGACGCGCCCTGGCGACCTCCAGGCAGCGGCCCTTTGCGCGTATTCCTTCTTTCCATCATCCATGTAGTGGGCATCAGTTAACGGGAGACGCCTAGACCCGGCACCATTTCATGGTAAGGCCATGTGCACAAGCGGGCCTTTGCACCTTCAATTTTGCCGAGGCACGGCGCTAACACCTCTTAGCAAGGTGCTGACTGACTGCGCTGACGTAGCAGTTTTGTCACATAACCGTTACGTCAGCGAGCGATGGGGTCGTCACTTCCCTACGCCTTAAACTTTTATTTATTATTATAATTAATCATTAACAATAGGCTATATTATCACCTAATTATATTAATTATGTAATATGGTCCTTGTTGGCCGAAATAAAGATATTATTATTTAGGGTATTTATATAGTATTCTCATTTTGTTGGGCTGAGTAAATATATTAAAGGAAATAATAAATAAACATAAATACCTATATATATTTAATATACTAAAATAAATAAAACATAAATAAATAAATAAAAACCCAACCAGGGAAGCCAAACCAAACGGCCGAGGGTTAGGGGGAAAGGGAAAGAAACCGGCGGACGATGCGGGCGGTTTCGAGGAGCACCGCCTTCTGCATTTGAGCTTGGAGCGGTCCGTCACGGAGTCCCAGTCGTCTCAGACTACCCGTGAGGCTGACTGGGATTAACCCGTTCGCTCGCAGAAACGAACACACGAATAATTTCGGCCGGCAGACCACCCCACATGTCGGTCACCTCCTGAGCCAGGTCCAGATATTTTGTCAGCTTATCTGTTTCGGCTTTCACAAGGTTCTCGTCATAAGGAATGGTAATGTCGACCAAAAATATCCTTGAGTGTGCCCGGTCCATCAGCACAAGGCTTATTCGCGAGAATAGTCCTGTCTGTGATGATGGCCCCGTCCCAGTAGAGCCTGGCGCGGTCATTTTCGAGCACGGCTTCCGACAATTACTTATAATATGGCAGTTTCCGATATTCAGAGCGAGCTCCTGGTGTAGAATCCTGGCTACAAGGTTGTGTCTGTGTAAAATAATAAATTATTAATATTTATTTAGTTTTAAATCTCGGCTTCTACCGGTTTACTATTAGCAGCCTAAGCTAAGTGCATATTAGTGCTAGATTTGATCATATACTCTAAGGTACCTTATTCAGTTACCCGTGTACTAGGTTGTGAGGTAATTTGCCTAAGTAAAGGTGTGGTCTGTTCTTCAGTTTGCAGGAACTTCCTAACTATTCTGCATGTATTTAGAATTACAGCTTTCTGTAACAGTTTATAGGTGTTGGTTGGTAAATTTAGGGTCTCTATAGATTGGTGTTATTGCTGCGGTATTACGCCTGTGGTTGATAGTACAATGGGCTCTATTATTACTTTTTGAAGATGCCAGAGTCGGGTTATTTCATCTTTAATTTCTGCATATTTAGAGAGTTTTTCAGCTATTATAGTTTGTAGATTGTGCGTATTAGGGACTGCTATATCTATAAGGTATGCGGTTTTGTTCATTTTATTAATTAGTGTAATATCTGGTCGGTTACAATGAATGGTCCGGTCTGTGAGTATAGCGCGGTCAAAGTATATCTTCGTTCTGGAGTTCTCTAATTTACTTTCTGGGTTATATTTATAATAGGATTCAATGTACTTTATTAGATTCCATTGGTGAGCTAGTTTTTGGTGAATAATATTTGCAACTTGATCATGTCTGTGTTTGTAATCTGTTTGGGCTATTGCCAACTGTTGCATTTTCTGCACTTATCAGAAGCTAAGGTTTTTATAATATGCTTTTGGTAGTTTCTGGTCTCTATTATTTGATCCTGTATAGCAACCATAAAGCCTTCAGTCTCTGGAAAAAGTTCGCCACGAATTAACCGCACGTTCGATGCTTTTTTGTCGACATTAGGTTGACTGATATCATGTCGATGTCTTCCATGTAGAGACTTATCAGCCCACTCAGTGAGTTTTGTTTTGTCGTCGATCAGTTTTTCGGAGTTTTGTGTAGTGTTTTCTTTTAAGTTCAAGGGTGTTAATTTATTATCATTTTGTATTAGGGTCTTGTAGAGTGTGGAAGATTCTGATTTATTGAAAAAGTATTGTCTGCGGGTCGTAATTTGCTTGTAATGTAAGTTTGTTATATCGATTATTCCCCTGCCACCTTCTTTTCTTGGCAAAGTCAGTCTCTGCAAGCATGAACTTGGATGATGTTTTTTATGCGTTGTAAAGCTTTTAAATCAGACTTTGTCCAGTTTATTATGCCGAAGGAATAAATGAGTATTGGTATAGCAAAAGTATTGATGGCCTTTATCGTGTTTCGTGCGTTTAATTGTGTCTTTAGTATTGTGTTGAGTCCATATAGAAACTGTTGTTTTTGTTTTTTTTTCTTTAGTAGTAGAGAGTAGAGCATTTGTCGTGACTGGTTGTAACCTAGATACTTATATGCCTCCTGTTCATCTAGTGATTCTATCTTATCCCCAGTTTTCAAAGTAGAATGATATTGATACGTAGTAATGTCCTGCTTTGATCGAGTATATTTTGCATTTATCTATTCCTGATTCCATTTTTATGTCACTTGTGAATTGTTCTGTAAGGTTGGCTAATTGATATAATTGAATCTTCTTTATCAGCGTAAAGTTTTATGTTATCCATGTAAAGAAGATGGTTAATTTTTATATGTATGTTGTTGCTATCATTATAATGTAAGGGATAACCTGCTGTAAGTGAATTTAGTATATTAGTTAGAGGATTTAGAGCAAGACAAAACCACAACGGGCTTAGTGCATCGCCCTGAAATATTCTTCTCTGTATTTTAATTGGATTGGTCTCTAGTTCTCTGGTTCAGATACGCATGATGTAAGAATTTTATATATAGTTTGCAAACATGTTTTAGGCCGATATTTTGCAGGGTTACGAAGATCATTGTGATCTTTTGATATCATGCACGTAATTCCGACTGTAATGTAAGCTGGCATTATTATAGGGTTTACTATAAATTCACTCAGCCTTCGTTTGGTCGCTCCTGTAAGCTAAGTAAGTACTGTAAGTAAGGCTCGGGATGTAAACACCAGCATGCTTAAAAAGAAGTATAACTTCTCCTCCAGGTCCTTTAAAAAAGAGTTATTGCTAAGGCAAAGTCAGAGCACATAGGCAGAATTGGCGAGAAACTAGTTCGCCTTCCTTCGGAAACCCGTGCATTCTGGTCTCTCGCCAAGGCTGTCCAAGGAAATTTCTGTAAGCCATCACTACCATCTCTGCACAGGGAAGATGACACACTGACCCACACCGCAAAAGAGAAAGCCGATCTTTTAAGCTCCCTTTTGCATCCAACTCGACTCATGATGACAGGGGGAACACACCGCTGACCACCCGCAGTGTAAGTGCTCTATACCTGATGTGCGATTCACACAATGCTCAGTACGCAAAGCACTCTTCTCCCTGGACATCCACAAGTCGAGTAGGCCTGACGGAATCCCGCCAATTGTGCTGAGGACGTGCGCTCCAGAGTTGGCACCGGTTCTAACGCGTCTTTTTTGGTACTCCTACTCCCTAGGCGTTGTCCCAAATTCATGAAAGACAGCTTTCGTGCACCCTATCCCTAAAAAAGGTAACCGCTCTGATCCATCTAGTTATAGGCCTATCGCCATCACTTCCTTATTCTCGAAAATAATGGAGTCCATTATTAACTGCCAGCTCATGCGGTACCTTGAGGAGCACCAGCTGATTAGTGGCTGCTAGTAGGGTTTCCGTCGGGGTCGCTAAGCTGGTGATCTTCTTGTTTACCTAAAACATAGATAGGCGCAGGCGATCGAGTACAAGGGGGAGGCATCGGCCGTTAGTTTGGACATAGCGAAGACCTTCGATCGGGTCTGGCACAAAGCGCTTCTTTCGAAGCTTCCTTCCTATGGGCTTTCCGAGAAATTATGCAATTGGATCACCAGTTTTCTGGCTGATCAGAGCATCAAGGTCGTAGTAGACGGTGCATGCTCCGATTACAAGCCTATTAACGCTGGTGTTCCACAAGGCTGCGTGCTATCACCAACGCTTTTTCTTCTGCATATCAATGATATGTTGCAAACCGGTAACATACATTGCTATGCAGATGACAGCACTGGTGATGCTCTATACACCGGCCGTGCCAATATTTCTAGGGAAAATGTCGCCGAGTACCACAACAAACTTGTGTCTGAAGTCGAGACTTTGTTGAACAAAGTCTCGGATTGGGGGCGACTAAATCTTATCCAGTTCAAACCCCAGAAGACACAAGTTTGCCCGTTTATCGCTAAAAAGAACCCCTTTGTCGTATCTCCTCAATTTCAAGGCACACCCCTTGTTGCCTCAGCCAGTATCGAAATCCTCGAGTTGACATATCGAGTGACGTGCAGTTTCGTGGTCACTTGGAAGAGAAGGCGAAATTGGCCTCTAAAAAGTTTGGCGTGCTCAGCAGAGTGGGACAGTATTTCATGCCGGCACACCGCTTGCAACTTTACAATCGGGACATTTAAAAAAATGCCTATTAAAACCTAGTCTAGTTGTCGGATATTAATTGTGGTGACGTCAATAGTATGACTCTTAATGCTAACAAAATACTTTCACTTCAATCTAATAAAATACACCAGGAAGAAAAAAACCGCTTGTCTCTAGTTACTCAATTAGTAATTTATTATTAACCAAGAGTTACCGGAGATAAAAGACTTAGGAGTTACTATTGACAGAAAGCTAACCTTTTTTTTTTTAATACAAGCAATGTTATTTACATTACTAATATTGCCTGTGAACACTAAGCTTAAAATGCTTGTGTTCGGAGTGGTTCACAACAGTAGTCGAATGGCGAATTCTTTAGAGTTCGCGGTCCGTACCCTACCATGAGGCTACTGTCGTTTTTCAGTAGTCCGTAGTACCTTTGAATCACATATAACAATACTGTTAACATAGCCGCAAATTTCTTAGGACTTATACGTGTTTTCCGGGGAACGAGGGTGGAACACTAACAACTTCCTAACTCCGGGATGCTTGTTAGTAGTATTCTGTTCGGCGTAATAAACAGATTCTATTATTAAGTACTATGAGTTTTATGTGTATTTTTTTATAATATGTATTCTGACATATTTCATTACATCATATGTATTACAAGATACCCTTTAGTGGCAGTGTTAGAATATGCACTACTCAATATCGTAGATACCGATGGAGTCGTGAGAGGCGACAGAGAAAAATAAACCAGATGGTCAGCAGCGTCTCTGTAATAACGACTAGAAAATAAAAAATGCGGTTGCTAAACCACCTGCCAAGCGGGCCAACAATGGCAAATGACCCCGTTTTGAGGCAATCTATGGGGAAGACATCAGTGGACTTTAATAGGCTGAAATGGATGTATTCCAACATACAAAATGAAACCTGCTTGAGACAACCTGTGAGTGTTTTGTGCTATAATTGATATGAATATCAGAGAGCGTAAAAAATGTGCATATTTTCGTACCAATCAAAATTATGTAGTGTAAATGTACTTCTTAAGTAATGTAAAAATAAAAAATTGTCTTTGTTAACTTCTCGTTTAATAAAATAAAAACATTTCGCCTCACTTAAACAGTTTGTTATTTTATAGAGATAACAATACAGAAGATTATGACCCACATCTTCATCGACAGCTAGAGAAACCTACAAAGTAAGTTCGTTTTATAATTATTAAAAAATTACTTTTTAACTATATTAAAATTTTCATAATTCATGTTTGAAAATATTACAACCTCAATTAAGGCAAAAAAAAATATATCTTAAAACTGATTAAAGTTTTAAGTTCGACAATTCGCTCTTGAGGATCGATTGATACGTGCCCAGTCCAAGTCCCTCAGTTGGAGTAGTCTCAGTCACAGGTTGTTAATTTAAGTTTTATTTACTGCTTTAAATTTGATATGAAATTTAAATTCATATAACATAAATTGATTAAAAATATAATATCATTTTTTGTTGATATCTGTAGCGTAAATAATAAAAGCAGCTTAACATTACAGTGACCTCGAGACTCTGGTGCATTTGCTCAAGTGCAGTCTTGGTACCGGAATACTTGCAATGCCGCAGGCGTTCGCACGTGCCGGCTTGATTACCGGCATCGTAGCTACAGTTCTAGTTGGAATCCTCGTCACACACTGCCTCCATGTCCTTGTGCGTACGCTACTTTATATATCTTCTTAATCTTCATAAAAATGGGGTCGAGACTATGAACACACATATCGGTACTTCTCACTAAGTACATCAGTTTATACTTGAGGATTAATTCGCGTTTAATTTTAACTAAGTTCCTCGTGTAGTGGAGGCGTAAGAGAATCCACCGTCGTAAGAGGCGACAGAAGACATGGGCAGCAGCATCTTCAAATTTCGGGACGCTTCCAAAGTGTGTGCAGGCTATAATCATATTACAGTCTCACGACAGTGGTTCTCGTGAATCACAACATGTTAATATAATACACAGTTTATGTCATCAACATGTTTTTTATTCATAATGATTTCTTATATTTATGCACATAATACACAGTATTTTACGTGGTAGAGCAGACGTAACTGTAATATGTCATCAGCATGTTTTTTATTCATAATGATTTCTTATATACATAATGATTTCAGTCTTCTGTCGCACGACACAGGCGCACGCGTATAGTTTAAGATTGCACTCTTGTTTACGTATCTACTATCTACGTCATACGATATACAGCATATATCACCAACCTTTTTTCTTCGTAACTGTAGTCATTGATACTGTTACTTCAAAGATGAATATCTGTGAATCATGTTCAAAAGAGTTCAACGATGGAGCGCAATGCTATATTTGTAAAAGCGCTACGACTTTGGTTGTGCTGGTATAACGGAGCGAGGTTTTCGGAACCTAGGAGCAGATCGAAGAGCTCAATGGAAATGCCTTCAATGCAAAATGGTTTCCTTCAGCCCCTCCCATCCAAGTTCCGAGGTCACTCCTGGTGGCGATACTGGTGGGGAGTCGGCGACCTTGGATGTTATTCTTAAGGAGATTCGTCAGATGAAGAAGCTGGTTACTACAGTTCCAAGTCTTATCGAGGACATCAAATCTATTAAAGTTGAATTAAACCATCTGAAGGAGTCTTGTGAGTACAACTATAGTTCACTTAAATCTTTTCAAGATCAAGTCTCCAGTTTGGAACGTGGTGTATCTCAGATAGAAAAGATTCAAAATTCTCTCGCTGTGGCCAACAAGGAGATATCAAATCTTAAAAGTGTTATTGAGACAAAGGAACAATGGTCACGGCTTAATAATGTTGAGGTAAAGGGCATTCATCTAAAGCCCAATGAAAACTTATTTGAAATCGCGGAGTCTATGGGTAAAGCAGTTGGGTATGAATTACATAAATCTCAAATCAATTACATATCCCGAGTACCAATGTTTAATACCAAAGAGAAGGCCATCATTATTAATTTCATAAATCGTTATGTCAAAGAAGAGTTTGTAGCGGCAGGGCGCGCGTGCAAAACTCTAGAGGCGAAGGATTTTGGATTTGGAGGCAATCGTCAGCGCGTTTTCGTAAATGATCATTTGACTCCAGAGCACAAAAAACTTCTTACCAAAACAAGGACCTTAGCAAAAGACCGAGGTTATTCTTATATCTGGGTCAAATACGGAAAAATTCATATACGTAAAAATGATACTTCGCCAGTTTTAATTATTGCAAAAGAGGCTGATTTAAACAAAATAGCTTAATCTATTGTTTATTAATATCTTTGTTTATTATTTCTTTTAATTTTATTAACTATTCTTACCTATGTATAATTAAGTTATACTTTTATGGTATTACAAAGCTGCTTTTAAACAGTTACAAAATGCATGTTACCCCTGCCTTACCTGCTTCGTTGATGCATCGCTATTTGTTAAATTTGCTTACCGGTTATCAGTTGCTCGCTTCTGTTGACGGTCGTTTAAGTATGCAACACACTTCGCACTCATTACGTGATACATTTTTATTTTTTCTACCCGTTTGTAAATACTATAGGCTAACTTATTATAGCCTTAGTGAATTTTTAAATATTGGTGCATTGTTTATTACTTTAATTAACGGGTTTTTGAAATATGACGGGAGATATATATTATTTTATTATAATAAAATTACTTTGGTTATCAATAGGCTTAAAAATGGCTGTGCTACATAAGAATAGTGTACGTGTAGGGTGTGGCAGTGACAACCTGAGAATATATTATCAGAATGCAAGAGGCTTGCACACTAAAACGGACATATTTTATCGTAATATTCTTATATGTGATTATGAAATTATATTAATTACGGAGACTTGGCTCCTGGACAGAATTAGTGATACGGAATTATTTGATAACCGATACGTTGTATGGCGGCGTGATAGAACTTACATAGTTACTGGTCAGAAATACGGTGGTGGCGTTTTGATTGCGACGCGTAAGGATCTAGAAATTATTCCGCAGCCTTCCTTTCATTCAAGTGCTGAGGATCTATGGTTAACGTTGTCTATTCACCATAACACCCGTAAAAAGCACACGAATTTGCATATTTGTATCTTATATTTGTGTAACGAAAATCGGGGTCTCAGTTTTGCTGCTCAACTTCAAAATTATTTGCACTCGGTTAGCGAAATTGTGATGAGTCACTCGAACGATAGTTTTTTATTAGTTGGCGACTTTAATCTTAGTGATATTACATGGGTGCCTGACACTGACGCCGGCGACGGTTCATTTTTAGGTACAAATATTCGTTCGGGAAACGAAACTTTATTAACAGACGAATTAAGTTCACTAAATTTGAGACAATTTAATGGTATAAAAAATGCCCATGGCAGGATTCTTGACCTTGTTTTTTCTAGCGACTCTGTAACCGTTCGTGATATAAGTGGAGATTCTCTTATTCCTGTTGATCCTTACCATGGTGCTCTTTTAATATATTTTGAGAACGTTGATTGCGAGTCATTAAATAGCAATTCTCGCCTTAAGTTTTTATATCATAAAGGTGACTATTATTCAGTAAATGGTGAGATTGCCAATATTCAATGGGATGAATTTATGTCTCCGTTATCGTTAGAAGAATCTGTGCAATATTATTATACCACATTCACGTCACTTAGAGATAAATATATCCCCTTAAAATTAATTGTTCCTGACACTTATCCTAAATTGTATACAGCGCCACTTAAAAAAGCTATTAAAGAAAAACATAAATTTTTACGTAAATTTAGGACGTAGGCATGACTAAGAAACTTTTAAGCTATTGCGTGAGCGTGTAAGGAAATTAGAAAAGTTAGCATACCAATCTTTCATAACCTTTGTGGAAAATTCGATTAGTGCTAATCCTAAACACTTCTGGTCGTATGTTAAACAAAAATCAAAATCACATTCAATACCTAATTGTCTTAAATTTGTAGGTTCTGTAATGAACTCTGGCGAACTTATCTGTAATGCTTTTTCAAATTATTTTCGTTCAAATTTTTTGGATTCGGGTGATAGTAATACTCAGCTGTCCGAAAATTATTACAATGATTCTCCAACGTCATCTCAGTTGAGTGTAGATATCACCTCAATCGATATAAACCAAAATACGGTCAATAAATTGCTTGAAACGTTGGATCCAACGAAATCTGCTGGTCCTGATAATCTTCCAGCTCATTTTCTAATTAACTGTGCGCATAAAATTTGTGTACCTCTAACTGTTTTGTTTAAAAAGTCTCTTAGTACAGGTATTGTTCCTTCTATCTGGAAGCGCGCATTTATCACGCCTGTCCATAAAAAGGGTTCCAAGACCGAAGTTATTAATTATCGACCAATTTCCAAGCTATGCATTGTATCTAAAGTGTTTGAACGAATTATTTATAATCAGTTATACGCGGGCCTAAGCATTCATTCAATCCAACTCAACATGGTTTTTTAAGAGGACGCTCTACTGTTTCAAATCTTGAGCTCTTTAATGCATTCTTGACGGAAGCAATGGACAATCGCCACCAGGTAGACGTCGTTTATACCGATTATAGTAAAGCCTTTGACAGAATACAACATAATTTGCTATTACTGAAATTGTCCAAGATCGGTATAAACGGCGATCTGCTTAGATGGTTTACGTCTTATATAAATAATCGATCACAAGCTGTTGTCGTCAGCAACTACATATCAGGATGGGTAACTGTTCCCAAGTGGGGTGCCACAGGGCTCACTGCTGGGACCGTTATTATTTGTTACTTTTATCAATGACATTACCTATTATCTAAAGAAAGCTCGCTTATTATGTTTTGCCGACGATATGAAGCTCTTTTTGAAAATAACATCGATTGATGATGCTGAAGCTTTACAAGAAGATCTGTCAAATCTAGAGCGTTATTGCCACCTAAACGACTTAGATTTGAATTTTTCTAAATGTAGCTTTATGTCCTATAGTCACAAATATAAACCGATTGTCTTCAACTACAAACTAAAAGCTGAAAATCTTAAAAGGGATTCCATTGTTAGAGATCTCGGTGTTCTTCATGATTCTAAATTAATATTTGAAGCTCATTTAGAAAGCATTATAGCCAAATCTTCGAAAGCTCTTGGATTTATGATGCGTAGCTCTAAGGATTTCACTAAGCCTAACACTAAAGATCCTATATTGTTCTATCGTAAGAAGTAATTTAGAGTACGCATCTCAAATCTGGAACCCCAGGTTTACAACATATATTACCCAACTTGAAAATATCCAAAGAAAGTTTATCCGTTACCTCTGTTATAGAACCAAAGACTATCGCTATACCTCTGATAATTATATTAGTTATTGTAAAAAACATCACCTTCTTCCTCTTGATAAGCGCCGTGAGATTGCTGATCTCACTTTTCTGTTAAAAATAGCTTGTAGTGCTATTGACTCTCCTCAGCTTTTATCTCAACTACATCTTAGCTATCCTACCAAACCTCTTAGACACATTAAACTTTTAAGTCTCCCGTTTGCATCTACAAATTACAGACAAAATACATTTATTTGGCGAGCGATCAATAACTTTAACAAACAAGCCAATGAGTTTGACTTCAATCGATAGCAATTCAATAGGCAATAATTTTTATCAGTAACAAGGCATTTTATCTATTTAATTAAATGTGACGACATATCTGCGTTTGCATTCTTAATCTAAGACAGACGGCGTCTATAGGCAACAGCAACCACCTTACCATGAAGTGGAATGTGTGCCCACTTTCACCTTTAATTTATAAAAATCAACAAAAAAAAACACACAAACTACACAACGGGCCAGTTCAAAGACTATAAACAACTTATGATATAATTTGTAACGTTTGTTGACGTTATGAGAAACCTGTATGTGTAAAATATTATTTGAAAAATATGAAGAACACGCATAGTGATAAGACGGTAGACACTGCATCGAAAAATAAAAGTTAAAATCAAAAGTTAAATAATAGGTATAGTATGGCTTATAAGGAAGCTATTACATACTTTTAAACTGTTTACAATTTATATAATTACTTTATTGAATAACTCATATTGCTTATACTCCGCATTATAAATCCTGGGAATCCTGGGAATGATAGCATGTTAGTGAGCTGTGGAAGCGGATACGATCTATTACAAAACAATGGATCCGTTGAGAGCCAAACAATAAATAATATTAAAATGGGGCATTGTAAAAGTGATTTTAAATGTACTTACGGACTATTATATTTTTAATTTTATTGATTACTGCTATCGTCAACAAATATATAAACAAACAAATTATACAAAAAGAAACGATAAGGAATATACATAACTAATCTTAGCTTAATCTCTAACAAATAATTGAGGTTATGAAAATTAATTAAGCAAGTTTATCTAGATAAATAAATGGCAATTCCATCGCGCAAGCTCTCTGTTCTGTAATAACACTAAATATAAAAGAAATAATTGTTTTTTTTTGTAAATCATTAAAAATATTATGTGCAGAGCAGTTAGGAGGCATAGAATTAGGAGGTATTTGCAGATTGCTTCGATCTGCCTTTACCCAACCTACAATGTTCCACGAATTATTCAATGCGTACTTGTAACATGGTTTCCTTTAAGGTTCTCATCATTAATTGTGGTACGAACATTGATGTTTATTAACTAGATAATGGCTTATTAGCCTTCATCAGTTCCCACCCACTTGATTTACCATAAGATATTTTTCGTGGCACACTATTGAGCTAGATTTTATGAATTCAGCTTAAACAGTCAATATATTAGCAATAGAAAATCCCGAAATAATTGGAATATTACAACAATATATTGTGATTTCTTATATTTACGCGAACACTACACATTGAATAAAACTACTTTTACGGATTTTATCGCGTTTAATTAACTTGTTTTATATTCCCGACGTTTCGGTTGCTTTCCAGCAACCATGGTCACGGGGGACTGAGATGATTGACGTCCCGATGTCAGAGTTAGCCCAGAAGTACCTTCAGCTTTTTTAATTATTAATTTTGGTCCGATCTACGCAGAATGAACTTACTGTGTCTTGAAGTCTTGCAGTGGTACGAGTATGTTTGGGTTTAGTTTTAATTTTATGAATTACAGGATACCAAGCAGGTGTAAGGGCCCAGCCTCCCTCTCTATTGAAACTAGGATGTTTTTTAATTTCAATAGCCTCACGTATCATCCTTGACAGGAATCGATGTTATTTCGCGAGAATTTGTGGTTTATCAACTCTAATGTAATGGCGGGGGCCGTCTAGGATATGATCACAAACGTTTGTGCTTCACACATAGCTGACGTGAAGCACCAACGTTCCGGGAAGTCTGCAGTTTGTGATCATAAAATCTTTACGTGGTAGAGCCATGCTGCAGCTATATTAGTAGTATAGTTGTAGCACGAATGGGTCGGCTCGACCGGGGAAAGACCACGCTCTCACAGAATACCAGCGTAAAATAGCAGCTTAAAACTGCTGTGTTTCGTATGGTGAGTGAAGAGAACCGGAGACCCTTTTTACTGGAAAAAGAAGCATTCCATCTTAGTCCTCACGGGTGATAACACATCTGCATCTTAATTCGCAAGCGAGGATAGATGCAGATGTCTATAGGACCACAGCAACCACTTACCATCAGGTGGACTGTGTGCTCGTTTGTCACCCTATCCTATAAAAAAAATCCGTAAAAGTAGTTTTATTCAAAACAATATATTGATTTTTTCTTATATTTTTTAAAAATTATATCACAAACTTTATACTATTTCGTGCTTCCATTTGTCACCTTTAATAATTTTCCCTGTTCCACTTTCTCGGAACTATTATTTAATAAATTATTATATTTGTATAGTGTGTCTGTAATTGAGTCATCGCACTCTCTTTGAGCTAATTTAAAATTATGTTCTCAAATAATTTTACACAAAATCACCTGGGCAAGACGAACGGATGAGCACTGTAGTGATTTCATAATGTTTCTGTATTTTTTTAGAAATATTATAACGCCCCCTCTATAAGAAGCTTATTTATATTTTGATGGTTATGAATGCTAGGAAAAACCTTTTCTACCTTCTGAATCTTGTGTTCAAAAATATAACAAGATATTTAAGAATAAGAACACAAATTTCGTTGTTAATTTGAACCTGGACGAATCTTACTAACATCATTAAATAATATGTTTTCATTTGGTAATACGTAGTACTTAAAAATTGCTGAATGATTAATTCGACGTACGTTGTAAAATTATGCGGCGGATCATTGATTTGCAATCAATATAATAGCGTTACAATTCCATAGCCCTTGATATGGAAACATAAAGAAGATTAGTAACGTAAGAACAAACAGACACAAAAACGAGTAACTAGAACTAAGTAGAATACTGTAAAATCGAATTATTGAGACCTCAAATTAATAGATAATATGTCGAAATATGGACATTTAGAAATCGGACCTATTACAACAACCCCGAAATGGGAAAATAAAAATTGACTTTAATGTTGTTTCTACAGGTGCGGTCACAATATGCTGCCTGTAAAAAGCTTCAAGTACCTTTGCTCTCCTACCCTGCAGCAGCGGCCACTGCGTTCAGTAATGGTCCTCCATCATTTCGAAACTTAGCAAGACCTTGCGCTGTCACCGTCGACGTATTTCTTGTGGTCTACCAACTGGGAATATGCTGCGTGTATATTGTTTTTATTGCTGATAACATCAAAAAGGTGTGAGTTATTTCGTAGTAGTTTTATTAAGTATTTAGAATTTAAAATTACAACAAAAATACATTTTTTAACAAGTACTATTTTAGCTGACAAAGGAAGAGGTTTACAATTCGACAGTATTTTCTTTTTTGTATGTATATTAGATAATTTTTTCGTCACTTCTGAACTGATTTTAATGATTCTTTTTTTATTGAATCGATTATATTTTTGGGGTATTTCCATATAAATTTGTAGAAGAAAATCTACCCCTAAGGGGAAAATAGGGGTGAAGTTCTCTATGTAAGAGACGTTTAGACGACATTGTAGCTGTTGATACCATAGGTTTGTGATATTTCTAAATTCACAAAAAAATATTCTTAATAAAAAGTTAAAGCCAACTTCGGGGAACTAAAAAGAATAAAATTTCCACAGAATGGCATTTGAAGTCGGGGCTTTAATAATTATTCTATACACTTTGTCGTAACACCGACATCAGAAAGCGTTCGAATTGCTTTTTATTCTTTTTAATTTGGCTTTATCTTTTTTACTAAAAGTGTAATTTACTTAAATTCATCCTTCTCTTTTATAACGTTATTTTCATATAACGTTTCTAATACAACAATTCGGATATATCTCAGTGTTATTTATAAGTCCTTATATCGATCGGTGTTTTTGTCCTATTCTTATTTGTCTATTTGTTAACGACCGCATTGTCAGTGTACCCGCCTACTACAACGATAATCCAGAGCGCTCAAATATACAACAGTAAAAAGATTATGCTTTCAAAAATTGATACTTTTTCACTGCTGTTGTGATTATCCCTGTGTCTTTGATATTGCAGCGTTTATTAACGGAGGACGGGTAGACTATAGGATCGTAGGCAGTACCATTAAAATTTGAAAAATAAATATATGAAAAATAAACAGAATTGTTATATAGCATATTAATCATTTTTTTATTTAGGCGTGGGATAGACACTAGTATATCCTTATTCTGAGTAGTTAATTTCCGTTCGCGTCGTCAGGAGTCGCGGTGGATACGCCATAATAGAGCTAGAAGCGTACTATGCAATTGGTTAAGTGGGCGGGCGTTGGCGGAGCAGGGTCAGCAATCGTCCTCAGTCCTCAGATTACCTATATACGTCAATATTCATCATCTGACACTATGCCGCTTTACACGTGACTGCATATCGTACAACACCGTAATTGTGCCACTATGTGATTTATAAGCGTAAATGGTATTTCTTGGTTTTTGCAAATTAATGAAAATGGTACCTCGTTGATCTAGAGGGCGTAAGTGCGACTGCTGATGGTGAAATATTTGAATCCCGGGTCCCGGGTTATTGGGTTTTACCGTCAAGAGATAACTACTTTTTACTCCGATGACTTGGAGAACACGTAACGCCGTTGGTCCATCGCCTGATTTCTCTACAGTGGTATCGTGTTGCCGTTCCGTGCGGACTATGAGAGTGAGGGAATAGGAACTGCACCTGTGCACGTACTCGTGAAATTTAATCCTGTCTTGTGTAGAAGGCTAGTCTACATTAAAATTGGCCGCCTTTACTGAAATTCTGTCTGGTGGACATTAATAAAACATTTTTTTACGTGGCAGAGACAAGCTGCTGCTATATTGTGGTTGTAGCAGGAACAGGTCGGCTCAACCAGGGTAGAATCACGCTCTCACAGAATACCAGCGTAAAATAGTACTTAATGCTGCTGTGTTTCGTATGGTGAGTGTAGGGAACCGCAGACCCTTTTACTGGAAACGAGGCATTCCATCTTAGTCCTAAGGGGTGACAAGATATTTTTTTATAGGATAAGGGTGACAAGCTAGCACACAGTCCACCTGATGGTAAGTGGTTGCTATAGCCCATAGACATCTACATCTACCCTCGTTTGCGAATAAAATGCACTAAAATTACTAAGATGGAATGCATCTTTTCAAGTAAAAATAATTCCTTTTTTAAATTTATTTACAAGTTATGTATATTATAGCAATTTGTGTTCACAGGTCTGTGATCCTCACTATGAAATGGCCGTTGAAATTCACATGCTGATCATACTGGGGCCTTTGATAGCTTTCAATTTGATTCCTACCCTTAAGTTATTAGCACCATTCTCAGCATTAGCCAATGTGATGACCTTGGTGGGCCTTGGGATTGTGATCTATTTTGTAGTCACTGGACAGAAGTCTACAGCGCCATTGGACCTGTGGGGCTCTGCGGAAACCTTCCCATTGTTCTTCGGGACCATATTGTTTGCGTTAACCGCCGTGGGAGTTGTAAGTGCATAAAATTCATATATCTGATAATTAAAATTTAACCTGCAATGTTTTTACAAAAGCCATGCGATATTTGATGTTTGAGAACTAACATAAGCGATTGCGAAAGTAACATGTTCAGGTTGCGAATTAAATTATGTGCCTATTAAACATGACAATTTAAACATAAATATTTGATATACATCATAGCAACGCATGCTGCGTCTATTATTTTTAATTGTTGATTGAGCAAAACTTATATACAGACTATTTTCTTTATATCCATATGCACATTTAAGATCGTGCTACCAAATAAATGATCATAAAATAAAATAGTTTGGATAATCAAAAAATGGCACGCCTCATTAGCGTTTCATTTAATTTTGATGAAAATAATAAATTGTACTCCGGACTTTTAGAATATATTATTTACGTGCATTAAATTTAGCATTCTATTATTTAAACTGGTAGTATTACCTACAGGGAAAAATAATGTTTACCAAAATAAATCGATTACACAAAGTATAAAATCGATATAGGCTGTATGGTCCATTTATCCTTTGTCTATCAAATGCTAAAAAATATATGACAGCGACTTTAAATTTTTAATAGCAGTAAAACTTAAAAAGTTGAAAATCATTTTATTTACAAACTCCGCATACTAGGTTATTGATGTGAAATAGGAAACCAGTTGGTGTAATTCTGAAGCTAATAAAAAACCCGATCTCGATACGTCAATTTTATCGGGAGTTATCATGACCACATACAACATCAACATCCGGACGTCCACGTAAAATTAAGATCTTTTTTTGGAAAATTTAAGATGGATTAATTAGTGTTTTCGCGATATACAGCTACTCATATTGTCGTATAAGTGCAATATGGTTATGATAGAGGGATTTTATGAACACAAAATTGCTTGACCTTGACGTGTCGAGAGTAGAACACACCTATAACGCTCCCCGTTATGAGGCGTGCAAAAGGATTAATTGCAGCGAATGAATCATTAATTTTGGCGTTAGTTTCGCAATGCGTTTGAAACTGTCTTTATAATAAAAAAACATATCAACATTTACATTTATGCAGGTGATCGCGTTAGAGAACAATATGAAGACTCCTAAGTCGTTCGGGCGACCATGTGGAGTGCTGAACACCGGCATGACTTTTATAGTGCTGCTCTACGTGGCAGTTGGTGCATTGGGCTACGTGTTCTGCGTATCAAATTGCAGTGATTCAATCACACTAGACTTGCCGAAGGGTGATCCGTCAGTGTTGCTATTTATACTATACTATTTTAAAATAAATGTTTAGTGACCGCGTAGGATAATCCATCATTCCATCTCGAACAAAGAGTATACTTGTAATAACTGTTCTAATCGCGAATGTGGGTTTCGTAAGGGCTGACTTAGAGAAATCACAAAAGATCTTATGTCCCCATCCCGTATTCTTACCAGATGTATACCAAATAAATGTCCACCGGCGGGAAGGTGCGGCGAGATTTCTAATAGTGCAATCATAATTATAATTTTTGATAAATCATCCTTGCTATGACAGAAGTTCTTGCATTGCTTATTTATGTGCATAAATAACAAGAAGAAATATATTGTGCAGTTATTCATTTACATTACCTGTATTTTTAATTTCATGTCTTATATAATACTAGAAATCCGCCCTGGCTTCGCACGGGTGATTTCTGGATCGCGATCACAGCGCCACCTACTGAGTCCAAATGTGAATCTAAATCATTCAAACACACACAAAAATTTAATAAAAATCGGTCGAGCCGTTTTTTGAGTTTTAGCGAGACTAACGGTCAGCAATTGATTTTTATATTTAGAGATATGATACATACGAGACTATTAACGACATTTTAAAATACTAATTATAAAGAAGAAATAAGGGGTTTGTATATGTTACTTAAAGATCTGGTACTATTTTTTTTTGATTTAAAGTGCATGGGTGCTGTGTAGCATTCCATTTTATTCTACAAAATGTCAACGCATCTACAGTTTTCTTTATAAGGTAGTTTGTAAGTAGTATGCAGTAATCGTTTATTGACAGGTGAATATTTTCACCGTGGTATTTCCTGTGAATTAATAAAGACTGCCTTCGTGTAGGTACGTAACTTTGCCCTACATCCGTATGATAAGCGGTTACATTATCTAAGTCCGTGGCGACAAAACAACAAACGGTGAACTAGTTTCAGCTTCATTATAATTTTATTATATGATAGAGACATAGTCAATTTCAATGCTGTGAGTCGCATTCCGCATGATTATTAAAGTATAATAGCGTAGGACAAAGTCCACAACGGCGCCGCGATGACGGCAGCACGATTCCCAACAGTTAGGCACGCAATTCGCACTGCGGCCCTGTTCTAACCTACCCATTATCAATCACCTCCATATTTTATCTGTGGCTCTATTTAAATCTTCAGCTTAACTTGCCTAATTTATATTATTTTTGGTCATGACCAATAGCATTTTAAATAGGTACCTAAAAGAGAAATAGATATTTTAAGGTAACAAAGAATTTAAATTAGGCGCCTAAAAGAAAATTTCTAAATTATTATCTATTATATTAAAATTATAATATAACATACAATAACCAAATGACAATATTCGGCATTGTAGTTTTTTAGACAAAGACTTAATACATTTTTGGGAGTTTTAGCGTGGTTTATATTTTCTCTTCATTATAATATATTATGCTTTACAAGTTTGGACAATTTACTAACCATGTTAATTGCACTTAAAGCTTTTAAATTAAAAAAAAGGTACTGCAAATTATTTGCGATGTGTTAATGAATGAATGAATGAGGAACGATTCCGATAGTAACAGAAACAGAAACTTTTTTATTCAATATAGATTATAAATAATACTTATTGAAAGTCACACTTGTTTAATTACCACTGGTTCGAAACAAAAGTGTGGAAAAGTGTGATTTCCAAATTCAGCTAAGACAGCTAAGAGCAGTTACACAGCATAGCTTCTTATATCTTTTTAATCTATACAAACATATAAAATTGAAGTCTCTGTTAGTAATGTCAAAATAACAGCTTTTAATGAAATAAAGAAGAAAGTATACATGTAGGTACTTATAACATTAAAAAAAATTGTCTATTGTCTTCGTTCGTGCTAATCTCAGAAAGGCTTGACCGGTTTCGACGGGATTTTCACTAGCAGAAAGCTGATGGTATAAGGAGCAACTTATGGTACTTTTACTACAAAAAATTTAAACCCACGAAATTGTAATAAAATCCGAATCAAATAGGGATGTATAATAATAAATTGCTAAAAATATTCTATGCGAACAAAGTCGCGGGCACAGCTAGTTCAAATATAATTTCAGTAATTACTTCCATTAAAATAAATGTCAAGCCTTAATATTTAGTAATTGTGAGCGTTTTTCCGCAGGTTAGCGACTGCTGTGATATTGATGTTTGCGATAGCGATCTTCATTAGCTACGGACTGCACTGCTACGTGCCTGTTGAGGTGCTCTGGAAAGGCTATCTCTTACCGTGGCTCGAAGAAACCGGGTCAAACCGCCTACGCCTCTGGGAATATACGCTCCGTGTTGCGCTTTGCCTTCTTACATGTAAGTCTTATCTATACGAATAAATAAAATTGAAGTGTCTGTTTGTAATGTAAAGATAACAGATTTTTACTAAATGCATAATATGAAAGTATTATACGGTACTGATAACAAAAAAAAACAATTATTAAAATGTTTGTCATAGCTGATGTTATAAGGAGTAAGGGTGCTTACATAAAGAAACAGGTTTCCGGTACAGACAAATCTGTACTGTTCGGTACCGATCGGTGCAGGGTTAACCTACATAAAGAAACAGGTAAACCTGGTCTTATTGACAACCTTGTCCTCCCGTTCGTCGGACGACGATTTTTTTTTACTTCTGGAAATTGTTTATTTTAAATGTATAAAGAAAATAACAGTTAGTGTCTCTAATATTAACAGAAAAAGAAAAAAATATGCGTCATATTATCATTTCTTTATAAGAAGACATAAAGTTCGATACTAAATAAATCTTTGAAAAATAGAAAACTGGTTTTCAATTCCTACTGTTACAATTTACCCCAAGCTTGTTACAACTAGCCCCAATCACGGGGTAAGTTGTAACACTCGTCAATTTTTTTTCTAAGCCATTTTTATAAGAATTCATGACAGGTTTGATCAAAATTTTATTTGAAATCGATAGTTTAATAGTAGCTCCTTCGAACAGTACTGCTGTATTTCCTAAATACCCAACAAGTAAGCTTCCATAGCCAAGAAACGAAAAATTGTTACAACTAGCCCGCCGCTCCCCTATACCAGGATGGCACGAGAAACATTTAACTACATATTAAATAAAATAGAACATCGCTTAGTTAAAAGATTGTGTGACTGGCATGTTCAACCCATTTCACCCGAAGAAACACTGCTGCGCTTATCGCGAGCGAGAAAAACGGTGGAATGTGCATTTGGTAGATTATATTCAAAGTGATGTTTGTTATCTAAAAGCATTAAAACTAATATTGAACTAGCTGACAAAATCGGGAAAACTGTGTGTTTGTTGCATAATATAATTATTGATAAAGGGGGTATTGAGAGAAACTTGGCTCCTATAAATCTTTAACGGCCAAGATGGCACAACCAAAGAGTGAGCCCATCTTCGAATGTAGCTTCAAACGTCAGAAATAATTTTGTTAAATATTTCAGACATAATCACTTGTACAATACCTAATTATTATTAAAAACTAAATATACAAATAAATCTATTTTTATTATAGGTACTTACCATCCTGTTTTATTTCCAAACTAATGTCTTTACAACACTTATCGGTGACATTTCTGTGGCCATGGAACTTATTTCTTTTGTTCCATAAAGGTTGTTTATCAAATGCCAATTCTATCAAAACTTCGTTATCCACATCCATTTTCATAAAAATATACACCCTACTCCGGCAAAAGCTTGAACCCGTATGGCTCGATGCAGGTTGTCGATACCGACAAGTTTAAACCTGTTTCTTTATATGTGACCGCATAAGATAACATAGAAATATTATAATTGCACCGATCGGTACCGACCAGTACAGATTTGTCTGTACCGGAAACCTGTTTCTTTATGTAAGCACCCTAAATTAAGCTATTTTTATTTTGGAGAAAGATTTAGCGTTCCGCTTAAAAAAATTTAACCTCATGAAATCCCATCGTAATAAATTCCACGCGGACGAAATCGCGGGTAACAGCTAATGTTATGTTTTTATAGGATAAGGTGACAAACGAGCACACCGTCCACCTGATGATAAGTGATTGCTGTGATTCATGGACATGCATCTATTCCGGATTACGTTGTTATCAAAATGCAGATGCGTTGTCACCCGTCATGACTAAGATGGAATGGCTCTTTTCCAGTAAAAGGGGTCTCCCGTTCTCTACACTCACAATACGAAACACAGCAGTGTTTAGCTGTTATTTTACGCTAATGTAAAATAAAACTTTGAATCTTATCAAAAACTTAGACTACTGCTCTTAAAAAAAAGATGAAATAATTTATTTTATATTACATTATATTCAAAATGACCAAGTCTGCAAATGGAGCCTAGCCTAGCTCACAGATGCTAATAAAAAAATAGTTTAATACCATGAGATATTGAGTTTGCTAATGGATATCGTAAAAGTCGCTGAAAGAAATTATGAAAATATTTCACAGCTTCTTACGAATCTTGAAAATTAGAATAATATGGTAGGCGTGGTAGAAAAAAGGCTGAACATTCGCCTTAAATTCCACAGTTCCACTCAGGAGCGGGAGCAAGCCTGGTTCACTCCCCGCTGACATCAATGAAAATTTTAATTACAATTTTAAAATGCTGATTTGTTACGCGCTGGTTATCTAGAATGTCTAAGGAACAAAATATTTAGAGGAAATGCGAAGTCCACCATGACGCACTGAAGTAGCGCGGCGGACTATTAGCTCCATTTCTCAAAAATGGACATACATATTGCTTTTCCCTGTTTTGTTTGACTAGGCGTCCATTACAACCAATAGTTTATGCTCGTTTTTTCTCGTATCTATTACTCTGTATATTACTTGTTATTATTGTTTTATAATGTCATGTCATCATCATGATCATTACTGCCCATTACACTCTGTCCACTGCTGAATTGGGATGCTCCAAAGAACACCATAAAGCACGATCCTGAGCTACCTGCTTTCATTGACTTCCTGCATCTTTTACCAGGTCGTCACTACACGTATACAGTATACCCCCGTATACTTTGCTTTCCTTGTTAATATGAAATGGTTATAATAAATATTTTATTTTCAGTCATATTGGCGGTGACGGTGCCCCGACTTGGATTGTTTATCTCGCTGTTTGGCGCCCTTTGTTTATCCGCACTCGGAATTTGCTTCCCGGCCATCATGGAAGCGTTCCTACAGTACCCTCGCAGACCACCCATGCTTCTGGCGAAAGATGCGTTGATTTTTATCATCGGCATCATTGGCCTTCTAGCTGGTACCTACACCGCGTTGATCAGCATCGTGCGTTCTTTCCAACCTACACCCGTACTGGCTGTTGAGGTCGGACCTCATGCGTGACCATGTTGATAAGTAAAAAGTATTACCTAATAACAAATGCCAACCATAATACATCAAGTGCCTATTCGCACTCCATTTCATTTACTAGAAGTACAAAACAAACGCTTCAACTTAAAGTGCCTTTATGCTTTGTGAATAATTGTGTTCAATATAATAGTATTAGACTTGGTTTTTATTAAAAAAAATAAGAGGAATATGTAATCTATATATGCACAACAGCGATAGCTACGATAGTTAAATTTAGGAATGTACTTTATATAAAAATCTTTTGACTTTTCGATTACAAGTTATAACGATAATTTGTACTTATCTGTCTCTGTAAAATCAACAAGTAAAACTTAACAACCTATTCGAAGGATATAGGTTTTATCCACGTTTATTTGTAGCTAGGCTTGAATGTCTATTTTTTTTTAAATTACTAAAGTAATAGAAGTCACTTCTAAAATTGAATAGTATATTTTAATTTCATTCCCGGGCGTTAATTTTATACGAAAGCAGCTAATTTTCTTTGCACTGATTGAACTGGCTAATTTGCTAGTTACTGTCTTTTTTATAGTATACAGGATTGTTTTGCAATAACCGGTCAAATTTGCAGAGAAGGTTCAGAATAAGTAATATAGGCAAATGGTAAAGAAATATTAATAAACAATCTCAAACATTTTGTCCCTTTTATCTTTTAAATTCAAAATATTCGATCGGTAGGTAAAAACGTTGTTGCCCATAAATAACATTCAATTTTGGATAGTTTCAAATAAAAATATAAGCCTTATTTACTCGTGTTTTCAAAAAATGCAATAAAGGTATATCATTATTTATATATTTGACGTTAAGTTTAAAATTTGGCTACTCTATGAAAAATAAGCCTGTATATAGCAGAAACTAAATTAGTGCTTTATTCTTTTTTTATGGATATCACTAATCAAAAACCTATTTGACTATTTTCATTTGGTAATAAATAGGCCAATTAATAATTGTTGTTAGAGTTAATATTACATTCTGGATCTTATTACATGAATAAGTTTTAAATGAGTACAACGACGATATAGGTCGTGAAAAGTTTACTAGAAACCTACAATTAAGTTTTTTGATAATAAATTTATCAAAACAAAATCCTACAGTTTTATTTCATACCGACAATAAAAACGAATCAATTTTGCAAGGAGTGAAATTTATTTTAAGTACAATTCCTTAATCATAATTCTAGCACCGTTTAGTGTCGGTGTTAAAATATCCACTACTCCATATTGCGTCCCGTGGGTGGCGTTAGAGGCGACAGAGGGAAACTGAAACAGGAGATGTGCAGCAGCATCTTCCTGATAACAACTCAAAATAATAACAAACTGTGGTTGCCAACCCGCTTGCCAAGCGTGGCAACTATAACAAAATTCCCCCTATGAGGCAGTTTATGGAAGAGGCCTATGTTCAGCAGTGGACTGTAATGGATGGACAATTCTTTAAAACTTAGGTTAAAAATCAAAGAAAATTTGTATCCTCTTTGATTTTCAAAACTTTAACCCTTTCTTCAAACAAATAGAAGCCAAAACAATGAATAAATTGTAAACAGTGAATAAGTTAAACTTATTAATTTACACGTGTAAGTAAGCGAACACAAATGCACAATAAAACAATGTGTTTTCATTATTTATTCCAAATGATTTATTATAATAAATGCAATACCCGCAACATAAAGCTGTACTAATAATGAAACCATCTTGATGTCCATAATGATCTACTTCAAAGTTAATCTCATATAAACGATCTCATCGAACGATATGTTTAACTTTGAAGTAGACAAAATATTTGTTAGCAAATACACGTCAATTTTTTCAATTATATATATTTGATAGCATACTCATATCTGTCATTTTAGTGAGTGTATTTATTCTATATATCTGGTATTTTAGTGAGAGTATTTAGTGAGTGATTAAAAATAATACAGCGTTTTTTTATTGAAATATTCCATTAGTAGTTTACTTTTTAGCCGGTTGATCAGGTACATCGAACTCGCTGACTTGTGCCTCCACCAATTGCTTGCTGCGCAATTTAATGATGGCATGGCTTGGCACATTCGGGTCCTCGATTTCAAACTCGATCAGTCCTAATATACAAATTGGAGAAAGAAGTGTGTAAGTATAGATCGGTAATTATATTATCTAATATCACAGCTCTAACATTGATAATGACGTTCTATTTCGACCACGGTGGCAACTTTTAATCGGGAGCCATCACTATGTAAGAGATACTGTGCAGAGTAGTGCTACAACTAAACACGCGCAAACGTATCTCGTCCTATTTGTTGTAGCTCACTCGTTCTATTTATGTCCGACATAATGCTAATGTGAAAACGTCAGAAACAGAGTTAAAATAAGATGTGCACGAGACACATCATTATTGGCTCAGTAGCATAGTGGCTAAGCATTTGGCTGCGGGATGTGGACTGCGGAGTCGAAACCGTATGAATTACATACTTATGTAATTCATAAATTCATACATAAGTACTTACTTATTTATATGACCTGCAAATAACTATCCGGATCTTGATATTTGACCATGTCGATTCTATTGTACAATAAGACAAACTGTTCGTTCCTCCAAATAAATAAAATAAAATAAAAAAATGTGCAATTTATTTATAGAATAATTTGCAAGCATCTATCTTTCCATCCCATTACAATGTCAATTTCTTCAAGGTGAGAGTGAATAGGCTTTTCTTAAGCTAAGTCGTATCGACACTCACCATCAGGAGGGATAATAGACAAGTATTGGCTTATAAATAGTTTTAATAAAAATGGAAAAATTAAAAAGTGCACATCTCGAACGGGAGAGACGGCTTACAATAGTAAAATTCAAAAGGCTTCCTAAGGATTAAAATCTAAAACAAATAAAAAAAATCAAAGCAATAAGTTCAGTTTTTCGAAAGATATCTTTTTCACATCCATACCGACCAACCGACGTCCAAGTGAAATTATTTTCAATTTACTTTTTTTTAATAATAATAATCGAAATTAATTATATGATAACTACATCAGAAGTAAGTATTAATTGAGATCTCCTCTTGCTATTGGTGTACTTTTTATTATATAAGTGCTATATAGAGCTAAGTGATTTAAGTTGAGTGGATCGCAATTTTTTGATTTGGTGACAATAGAGCACTACATCTCCGTATCGCGTTCGATGTGTGCATAAATATATACCTAATTCCTTCACGATACTGGATAATTTCCTAGTGTGCGGGTAACGTCACAGAATAATGGTAACGTTTAAAAACACCAAGTAGGTATTAAAGGTGAAAGAAGAGTTGGGAAGGTTTCGAGTAATTGTAAAAAAAAACACGTGACAATTTTTTTACCCCTGCCGGGGCTTGCGTACACGAAAGCCTTTACACATTGGTTTTGTATCATTAAAAGTACATTATATCAAAAATGCAAATCTGAGTGTCAAAATTTTGATTTCAGACCTTATTTGACTGGATTATTTGTTTGTTAGTTTAATCTTTCCTCGGTGTACAATAAATAGTAGTGTTTGTATTGTATATACCAACCTCCTTCCATTACTGCTTCCTCTTTATAGTTGTCGCGCATTGACCTTGCCAGTATGTTGTGGTAGAAAAGATAAGCCTGCTCGCGAATATCCTTTGTCACCTCCATTTTCGAAACGGCCTGCATCAAAACGTTCAGCTTTTGCCGAGCGTTTAATATCAGTTTGTCCACTGATAAACATTAAACAAAACATTTTAACATTTACTAATTATTAGTTAGAATGCATATAATTAGGTGTAAACCACTCTACTTACACTTGCTACTTGTTTTTCAAGAGTTATAACGCTAAAGACGCGACACTCCATTAACTAAGGTGCTCAATTCTACAACTTATTAGTTTTGAAGATACTGCACCATTTTTATTATTGTTCAATGAATATTTAACACACACAATATTGCATTTTTCACCTATGTACGGAGTATTATGTATCCCCATATCACCTTCTAACCACTAGAAATAATTAGAATAGAATAAAATGGAAAAGAATGAACTAGAACTTTTTTTTATTTAATATAGATTATTGAAAGTCCTTTTTTTTACTTTTACCACAGTTTGGAAAAAGTGTCTGTCCTGGGAAGAAACGGCAAGAGATCCAGCGGAACTATTTAAAATAAAATAAAATAGTAAACAAAATATACAATCGAAAATTAAATATTATGAAAGATATTTTATTTATCTTCATCGTCGTCATCAGTACAGTGTATCAAATTCCTCCTCAAAACATAGCAGCTTAGCAGGGTTGGAAACTGCAGTTCTTTTATTATTTTTCAGTTTTTATCAAGAAGACGCGGCTGCCCTTCTCCTGTTTCAATTTCCCTCTGTCGCGTGTTACGTTATGGGGTAATGGATATTTTATTAAGTTTCATTATTTCTTGCAAGGATACTAAGAGCCGATTGATATTTTTAAATTATACAGACTATTATTTTGATTTGGGTGGGTTACTTGCCAGTTTCGTTTCTTCAAAGATATAAATATTTGAAAAAAGAAACTCGAACGATACAAAACACGATGTGAAATTATATGGACATCATGGTTAATTTTATCATTCAGTCTAAGGTAAATATATTTTTTTACTAGCCACTTTCACAACACAATCTCACCAGAACAAAGCCGAAACACCTATGCAACAAGTGAGTAAACTCAAAAAGATTAGAAACAGAAGTTTGCGCTAATCGGCTAGAAACACTAAACCTAATATACTTATATTTTGATCTTTTTAAAAACCAATGAATCACTCGGGTACTAACAGTCCTCCTCCACTCGGGGGACAGGTTGAATCATCTCATCCAGCGCATACTGGATGGCTGCGGGGATGGCGGTTGCTGGCCTTGCTATATTTGGTGCTCCTGAAAAATTTTATATTGTTAATTTATGTTTTATTAAAAAAAAAAGTTTTAGAGATGTATTATAACATTCTTTGGAAAAAAAAAAACTAAATTTGTAGCCTAATTACGCCTTTGCTGTATTTATTAGGTGTGCGATATGGTAAAAAAAAAACGAGCATCTTTGCGCGCAGTTGATAAAACTTATTAATATTAAACTTATTTTAAAATGAATAAATATATTCTTTATTATGTTGTTTCCCATTGTGACGACTGTGAACATAAATTCGTGGAAAAACGTACAGAAAATTATCAACAACTTTTTTACCCTCAATGCCATCGAATTGAAAATCGAAGTTGAAAGAGATTATTATTTATTTAGCTATTTTAAGAAAAGCCTTAGATCAAATAAAGTTTTTGCAGCCACGCGTTTATTGGTTATTTGAGCTTGATGATTTAATACTTGGGAAATCAACTGCACTCACTGAATTGTATGAGGAAGTCCTATTGAATTGCCTGGGGGTCAGATTTTGGAGAGTTACAGTTTGGGAAAAAAGTCAGCGTAGGTAGCGTTAACTTTTTAATTTTAGAATAAAAAAATTCTAAAAATATAAATAATCTTTATATATTAAAACTACGTGTCACATTGTATCCTTTAGTCAAACTTGCGAGATAGTATAGTTTATATCCCAATTCTTCTAAAAGTGATCTTGAAGAAGGTAGAAGCCGATACTACGCCACTACAGGAAAAATAACAGACTAGTTTGTTCTATATGTATAAATAAACGTGTGCACAAAAGTTAGCCTCGATTTGTGAGTAACGCCACTATTTTGACAGCTCAGGAAGGTCATGAAGAAGACTAGATGAGGTAGGATAGTTAAAAGCTGAATAAAGATACGCATGTTAACTAAAGTTTACGTAAGAGAATTACATTATCTTGTCATACTCGTATCACAGGCCAAAGACAGTCAAAAAAATTCACTGACTGCTTTTATGACAAAACTGAAAAAAAATGACACCTCGGCTTCGCACGGGTGATTTCTGAATCTCTGAAACCTACCGAGTCTAATTCATTCAAACACACAAAAAATTTCATCAAAATCAGTCGAGCCGTTTTTTAGTTTTAACGAGACTAACGGACAGCAATTGATTTTTTATATATACACCTTTTTTATAGGAGAGGGGCAAACGAGCATGCTACATACTAACTAGCCGTTCCCTGCGACTTTATCTGCGTGGAATTAATTACGATTGGATTACATAGGTTTTAATTATTTTTGCGAAGAACTCTAAATCTATTCTTTTTAATAAAAGTAGCCTAAGCCTTTTAACATCAGCTACCTGCCAGTGAAAGTCCCGTCAAAATCAGTCCAGCCAATTCGGAGATTAGCCGGAACAAAAAACAGACAGATGGACGGAAAGACAGACAAAAACTTTAAAAATTGTATTTTTGTTATAAGTACCAAATACATATTATCATATGCATTTAGTAAAAAAAAAACTGTTATTTTGACATTACATACAGACACTTCAATTTTATTTATTTGTATGTATATTGTATATTAACACATATTTTTAAAACTTTGTGACTTGGAGTAACGAAATATGCAGCCATATTTTTTCCGATGTTGCTATACCCGAGAAGGTTTTTACTAGTATAAGTTGTAGCAGGAATGTATCGGCTCGAACGGGAATGGACCACGGTCTCACAGAATGCCAGCATAAAATAACAGCTTAACGATGCTGTTTCGTATGGTGAGTGTAGAGAACCGGAGACCCTTTTTACTGGAAACGAGGCATGTCATCTTAGTCCTCACGGGTGACAACGCATCTACATTTTGATTCGTAATCGAAATGTAGATGTCTATGGGCCACAACAATCACTTACCGTCAGGTGGACTGTGTGCTCGTTTGTCACACTTACCCTATAAAAAAGCAAAAAAAAAAGTTACAAAGTATATAACGTGAAGATTTATTAAATACGAGTAAAAGGACCCACCGATGTTTCCTCTGTGTTTTATTCGTTCATTATTGCAAAGGAATAAACTCGTACACTTAATGGGGTACGTATGTATGTCCACGTTATAATGTATGCGTGTCTGTCGTGCGCATATCCTGTCCTTCCCAGATGGCTAGTCTTTATTGAAATGGTCGCTGTGTCCAAAATACGGTTTGGTGGACTTTCATGTAATCGTCTTTATTGAAATGGTCGCTATGTCCAAAATACGGTTTGGTGGACTTTTATGTACTCCCAGGCGGTTTTGTTTATGACAACAAATTTCGAACGATGGAAAATTTGCGTAATTAAAAAGATTCTATTTTAGCTATAGTTATTTCTAATCTACTTGAGACCGATAAGATTATAATAGGTGTAATTAATACTAGAAGCAGTGACGGAAATGAATACGGTGCAACCGCGGTAAATAACCGAGTAATGTACATATTTTGTTAACAATAGCTGGGATTCGAGTAATTCTAAGACTTACTAGGCTAAACAAACCACGTTCGGGCTATAAATACACTTACCCACGCACGACAGTAACTGATTGATTTGTTGCAGTGAAGTTTTCATTTGAATTATAAGGTTTCCCTTCTCGTCCAAAGCTTCAATAAGGTTCTTTTGTTCACGCTGTTCCGCCTCCAACGCCGCTCTAAGCTGCCTTTTTTCTTCTATGTACCTGCAGTATTGAATGTTAGTGTCCAACTGAAGCTTCGGTTTCTGCCACTCTCGACAAAAAACAACTTCGACCTAATGCTCAGCCATGGGCTAAAATCAGCCGAAAGTTTCAACGAAGCCGAGTTTATGTTTAAACAGACAAAAGCGAAAGAGTTATTGCGAATAAAGTGTGACTCGCCCCGCGCATTGCGTGACAATTCCCAGAAGTTTCGTGCACGCAAGTGTCAATTTGTATACATTACATTACACTATTCTATCATTATTATTGTGTACTTATATACGAAAGCACAGGAATGCCTTGTTATACTGACTAGTGTCTAGTACCACATTAAAGGCTGTTAACATCATAATTTTACGGTGTAATATATTAACAACTAAATTATAAAGATTATAATTAATAAATTAAAAAACAAATTAATTACTAAATTATAATTATCCCAGAAATGACATATCTGGAGAAGAAGGATTAGAAGTACCGACCCCAATTAGAAATGGGACAAGGCCTGAAAAAGAAGATTTCTAACCACCGTTGTTTTCTATCACTCGTTGCTACCGAGTCGAGGACAAAATGCTACGAGTATCTATTCTTTTATTAGGTGGTCTTCTTTTTTGTTTTATTTTTTACTTTCTAAGTAATGAACTAGAAAAGAAAATCTGTGGCAGTTTGAGGGCATAGCATCTTTTATAACTCTCGCGACTCGCGAATGCAAAGGACCAAGGACGGGGTTACGTCGGACTTACACCGACTAAAACCTCATGGTGTTCCACGGCCGCGGAATCTGTATGTTCTGTATAGAAATAATGAAGTAATTACTGTGCAGTGCGCTCCTGACCAACATTTTTCAGCGAATCAAGCATTAGTATAGCGTGTTTACGATCTTCAATCAGCGCGTCTCTCTTCACACTGTTTTGAGCCAACTGCATCATAAGGCGCTCGGACTGATACTTTTGCTCCTTCAATCTTAAAAAAAAGGAATATAAATCTTAAAGCTTGCAAGCAATTTATCAAATATATATAATATGTTAGAGATGAAGGTATAAACAGAAATTAGAGCAGATCCTGAAAACAGCCAGGACTAGAGGTTAAAGAGTTGAGATCTGACAGGCGCCAAGCTTAATAGCAGTTCTTATGATTTGTGTAACGTTTGCACTGAACTTGGCCCCCTTTTCACATATTATTTATATTTTTAGAAGAAAGTCGTTATTTTTAAAGAAAAAACATCGTGAGAGTTTTTGGTACACCTCAGTTGGAACGAAGTTTCTTTCGTAGTATATAGCACATTTTTATTGATTAACAAATACAAATAAATGAATTACATACTAGCATTTATTAAAATGAAGCACCAATTAAAATAAAATATTTCCTTAATGGCATGATATGAAGAAATGCGAGTGAGGTGGATATTATTCCATCTCGCAGCCGCCAAGGCCGTCTACACTACGTCAGAAGAGATCGTGATGGAAAAATCTTACATTTTTTCTCGCCTAGTCTCCATCCGCCAAATTCGTACCGTCCGATAAGGAAATTCGTTCCAAAAATTTCTTTTAAAATCTTAATAAATACATGACCTTCAACGTCTTTCCTTGCATTTACATTGTACTGTTTTTGGTTTTTAATTTAAACTAAATATCGAAAAAGCTATTAATAAATTTAAATGTCAACAAAGTTATTACTACGGTACTTGAAACAAACAAACTTTGTCAACACCTGTTGATACCGAATAATATATGTATATACGGCTAATGATCTACCTTGATTTCAAATAATGCCCGTATAATAGCGGGTAAGTCGGGAATATCCACTACCCCATATGTTTCCGTAGATGTCGTAAGAGGCGACAGAGGGAAACTGAGGCAGAAGATGCACAGCAGCATTTTTCTGATAACAACAAAATAACAATAAAAAACCGCGGTTGCCAACCCGCTCGTCAAGCTTGACAAATATGGCAATATACCATCCATGGCGAGAGTTACACAGAGACGGCCACCAATGCCAGGCGGCACCGCTATTCCTGGCTACAGTGGTGACCATAGTAACGGCGGGGCCGGGGGTGCTCAGAATATACGATGGAGGTTCGCTTGCCACCTAAGATAACTCGACCTGGCAACATATAACGCACGCACCCGGAGGACTGACGAGAAAATCCTGGAGCTGGAAGAAGCGATAGACAAGTTGCGCTTGAATACTATAAGATTATCGGAGGTCCAAAGAGAGGGGGCGGACACGGTAATCGTCGAATTCAGCAACTTATTTCATCACCGGGAGGGCGACCATCTGTCCCAAGGAGGTGTCGGATTTATCGTCCACAAGTCTCTCGTTAACAACGTAGTAAAGATTGTGAGTGTGTCGACGGTGGTTGGGTACCTTATACTCAAAATCCCCAAACGATATTTGCTGAAGGTCATACAGGTTTACGCACCAACCTCAGCACATCCCGATGAGTAGGTGAAGGAAATATATGAAGATATTTCTAGATCCATGCATTCCTCAAAAACACACCATGTGTTACTGGGAGACTTCAACGCAAAACTAGGCACAAGAGAGAACGGTGAGCTGAAGGCAGGGAAATTCCAAATAGGGCAACGGAACCCAAGGGACCAGCAGCTGGCCGTTTCATTCATGGAGAAAGAATGATTCTTTGTGATGAACTCTTTCTTCCAGAAGCGACCCCACAGAAAATGGCACCGACGGTTCGACAAAGAATAAGATTGAATTCATTATCGCGACTAGGCGGTAACTGTTCAGTGATGTATCAGTGATCGCGAGGGTGAAAACTTCAGCAATGGCAGCGATTACCATTCGGTTCAGTATTCATCAACTGAATCTAAACGTTAAGTTGGAGAGGTCACGCTTAATGAAGTCAACGCCCCGTCCCACTCGTGCTCTAATCTAGTTTTAATCCAAAGCTCCGAAAACTTTCAGCTCGAGTTACAAAATCGCTTTCAGTGCCTAGAAGATTGCAATGCAGTGGACAATATGACAAGTTCGTGGAAACTGTACATGCGGTCGGAGCTCAGTTCTACAAGACCCGTCGCTGAAGACCACAAAAACTCTCCGATTACACTGTAAATCTCATGACTGTTAAACGGGAAATGAGGCTGCAGTCTTCAACAGATTTGACAGCATACAGGCAACTAAACAGACATATCTCCAAATGCATGCGGCGGGACTTATGCAACTTCAATACAGCTCGTATTGAAGAAGCGATCGAGCGAAGCCAGGGCTCCAAAGTACCTTTGCCAGATATCTGACTGCCAGAAAAAGCCTACTGTCGAAGCTGGAGACGAATGTAGCATCATCGTTTCCGGGACAGGATTTTGAGTAAGATTAAGAGGCTGGCAGGAGATGACCTCAATAGTGTCTCCCAACGGATAGGTATTAAGATGAACAAAATAAAGATTATTTGTAACGTCCATGTCACACCTATGCCGGTAGTTGTTGGGAGCACTAAGCTTGAAGTTGACGAGTATGTTTACCTGGGACAAATAGTCCGACTAGGTAAGTCCAACTTCGACCGACAGGTCAATCGACGGTTTCAACTCCGATGGGCACCGTTCGGGAAACTACGACACATCTTCTCGTTAGACATACCTCAAAACCTGAAAACGAAATTGTACAACCAGTGCGTGTTGCCAGTGATGACATACGGAACTGAGACGTGGTCCTTCACTGCTGACCGTATGAGGATGCTCAAGGTCGCTCAGCGAGCTATGGAGAGGGATATGCTCGGGGTTTCTCGATAGGCGAGTGTGTGGCGGCCCCCAACTAGATGGAATGATGACCTGGTAAGACATGCAGGAAGTCGATGGATGCAGGTGGCTCAGGACCGTGCTTTGTGGCATTCTTTGGGGGAGGCCTTTGGAGGACTCGTCAACAGCTCTAATGATGATTATGATAATGATGCCAAATTTAACAAATTTATAGTGACCTCGAAGTGGTCTAGGTTTGTGATGAGTGATAAAAATGGCACATTTCAGACCTCAAAACCCAAGAAGATACAATGGGAGCGATTAATATGCCGTCATCTTATTTAATAATTAGTATGTTTATAATAGACCAAGATCGTACCACCTGATGATAAGTGGTGATAAAGTACAATATCATAAACAAGTTAGCTCTATAATCTGAGACGTTAGTTCAGAAAATGCCTATTCGATCTAGTTTTAACTTTTTCAATTGTATTGGCTAGGGTCAGCAAAACTACGTTGAGTCTTGTGTGTGTGCACAAGACTCAACGTACTTTTACTTACACATCTTACAATAACCAAAATAAAATGTTGAAGATTTTTTTACATCTATGACAATTGTCTTTACCTTAAAAGTATTTTGTCATAGGACGATACCAACGTCCCTTGCTGCAAACGTTTACAAATACTCATGACTTCTTCAAGCTCCCAGTGCACGGAATGAAGGCTAACGTTATCTTGTTCTTCGTACAAATCATCCAGATTCGTTGCCTCCTGAAAATTATACATTAACACGTGGTAGAGCCATGCTGCAGCTATATTAGTAGTATAGTTGTAGCACGAATGGCAGCTTAACGCTGCTGTGTTTCGTATGGTGAGTGTAGAGAACCGGAGACCCATTTTACTGGAAAAGAGGCATTCCATCTTAGTCCTCACGGGTGACGACGCATCTACTTTTTGATTCTTTATTGACGATAAATGTGGATGTCTATGGGTCATATGTCTGTGTGCTCGTTTGTCACCCTATCCTATAAAATAAAAAATAAAAAATAAAAGGTATATTGTAAATAAATAAACTTAAATACACAGGAAATGTAGCGTTATTCCTATTTCTACTCATCATCGTCGTCATCTGTCTGCGACAGTCCACTGTTGCACATAGGCCACCGCAAGGCGCGCCACTAAGCCCAATTTTCGGCTACACGCATCCAGTTCCTACCAGGCACCTTGTGCACATCGCTGCTCCATCTAGTCAGGGGGCGTCCCACACTAAGTTTGCCTAGACGGGGTATCCACTCCATAACACGTCTACTCCACCGGTTGTCACTTCTTCGACAGACATGACTAGCATATTGCCTCTTCAGTTTACAAACACGGAAGGCTATCTCAGTAACCTCGGTTTTCCAGCGGATTTATTCATTACCAGAGAAAGTATGAGGAAAGCTCTTTCCATCGCTCACTGAAAGACTTAGAGCTTGTGGAGTAGCCGTATAGTCAGCATCCACGTTTCGGCACCGTAAGTGAGTACGAACAGAACGCACTGGTTAAAGACCTTCAAATCTTCAGACTTTGCGGTATGGGTGACGAGGGAACCCGACAAAGCTTTCTAAATGCTGCCTAGACTAACTGAATCCTCCGATCGACTTCCTTCTCGAAGTTATTCTTACCTAGTTACAATATCTGTCCGAGGTAGGTATATTCCTGGAAAACCGCGAGAATCTTACCGTCATCAGTAATTGGAACTGACACGACACATACTCAGACTAACACGTCGGCAGAATTTGTTCAGTCTGTTCAGCGTATGCTGAAGTTCTTGCAGCGATTCTATCATGACGACAATATCATCAATAAAGCTTAAGTGTGAGTTGTGCTCACCGTTTACGTTAATGCCGCATCCTTTCCAGTCTAGCGTGTTAAAAACATCCTCCACTGAATTTGTAAACAGTTTAGAAGGAACATCCCCCTGTCTCTCTTCACGATACCACTGAATTGGTTTTGTTTGACTACCTGTACTTGGATGGAGATCGTACTGTCTTGTAAAAACATCTCAGCACTTCGATATACCGCCATTCAATTTAGAAGTCAAAAGCTTTCTAATAGTCCATAAATGGGCTGATTATACTCTGTTGTCTTTTATTGCCGCACTGTGTGGCCTATAGTGCCAAATATTCCTTGAAACCCTATTTCTAACCCTAAATCCTATTTCTACTCATTAATATTAAAACACGCCATATTGAATTCACGTTTAACGTGTTTTAAACTGTGTTATTGTTATGACAAACAGCTGCAATTAATAAATCGTGATTTTAACACTGGACACACGAGTAGGAATCTCTGTCATAATACAATAAGTATATATGGAACAGTAGTACCTGTGCGACCGCCGCGCAGTGGTGGCGTGAAAGAATCCCCTACGCCATATCGTCGCGTGGGTGTCGTAAGATGAAACTAAGGGAAACAAACAGCAGCATCTTTCTGATAATAACTCAAAATAATAAAAATACTGCAGTTGAGACCTTCTTGAAGAGTATGGCAGCTATGGCAAACATTCCCTCTATGTGGAAATCTATAGAAAGACTTAATTTCAGTAATGGACTTTTGATAGGCTTTAATTAATAAAAAAATTATTACGTGAGCGTCCGAGCTTGGCTCGGCGTTGAAAGAGGAATTTAATATTCTCTGGGACGACGCCTTTTTAGATAAACTTTGCAATTATCACAATGTGAATTATCATATATACTCGTCATTATATATAATATACATCACCATTATATATTATATATCAGAATTGTTAGAGCTTAAAGTATTAAAATAAGTATGTATCGTATGTATTAAGATAAGTATGTATCATATCTATAACAGTGTTAGAGCCACGCGGCAGCTTTTGCTATCGCACGGATGGACCGGCTCGAACCGGGGTGGTACCACGACCTCACAGAAAACCAACGTGAAGTAGAGGTTTACCTCTGCGTTTCGCTTGGTGAGTGCAGGCGGCCGGAGGCCCTTTTTACTGGAAATGAGGCATTCCATCTTAGTCCTCACGGGTGACAACGCATCTGCATTTTGATTCGCAAACGAGGATAGATGTAGATGTCTATGGGCCGCAGCAACCACTTACCATCAGGTGGACTGTGTGCTCGTTTGTCACCCTTATCCTATAAAAAAATCTTCAGTATTATGCATTGTATGTATTAATGAGCCATATTGTAACTCATTAGACAGGAACGAATGTGATTAACGTTTTAACATGTTTAAGTGTTAAAACGTTCTAAGAATCTAGGTATCTATTGCTGTCGCATTGTGCGCGAACCAACGACGTAGATTATTGAGAGAAACAATCGCAGCTTGGGCTGATAAAAATTTGGTGAAATCATCATTGGGTATTATTTTCCCTTATTTCCTCATCCTAATCTGCACCTTTTCATTTTTTTTCAAGACCCAATATAAGAAGGATTGTGGCCATGTCTGTGTATTATTTTGCTTAAAAAATTGTTGGTTTATGGTGTATAAATTGCTCTATGATATTTATACAAACAGAGGACTCCGTTTGTGTGAAAAAATTGCTCTATGATCATTATACAAACAGAGGACTCCGTTTGTGTTAAAAATTGCTCTATGATCATTATACAAACAGAGGACTCCGTTTGTGTGAAAAATTGCTCTATGATCATTATACAAACAGAGGACTCCGTTTGTGTTAAAAATTTGCTCTATGATCGTTATATAAACAGAGGTCTCCGTTTGTGTGAAAAAATTGCTCTATGATCATTATACAAACAGAGGACTCCGTTTGTGTGAAAAATTGCTCTATGATCATTATACAAACAGAGGACTCCGTTTGTGTAAAAAAATTGCTCTATGATCGTTATATAAACAGAGGACTCCGTTTGTGTGGACTGAGCGCTGCACCGCCTGGATATTCTCTTAACTTATAGTCTAGATATTTAAAAGATTGTTCCGTTGTACAAAGTTACCTCTTTGCGGATCAAGTTTGGAAAGGAATCCATCAAGTATGCGACTTCACGACGTACAACCTTCAACGTTCGTTCCCTTTCTTTCATGTTTGCTTTGATCTCCTTTTCCAATTTGTTGAATTCAAACTTTCTGTCATCTAAATACTCCATGGCAAGTTGGCCCATTTCCGTGGCACCCATTAAGCATTTGCCTTGAGCTCGGCAATCTAATTTCAAAGCCTCCAATACAACTGTGAAGTAGGAAGAATCCTATAATATAGAAAAAGAAAAAATATTTGGATTAGAAATTTATGGTGGTGACATTAACGGAATCGAACAATCTATGTTTTTGTGGAATTTCTAAAAGGAAAGAGAACTGTTTGAAAGATCTAATCTAGTATTTGATAGATTAGAATGTCTAACCAAGAAAGGATAAAATGCGTTATATCTGATAGTGTAGATGCGTTATATCTAACCTAACCTAACAAAAGCGATAAGAGTAAATGTTCTTCCTCGATGAAAGAAAGGCATGACTGCTCCGATTTTTGTGCGACCGTTTATAGAACGTCTTAAACTTACTCGAAATCTCAGATAGTCTCGAAAGGACGTTGCCATTCGATACTAAGGTTCAGTGTATCTCTCAACATTTGGTGATCTCTTCCGGTTTTTACCCTTGCGTTCATGGATATATCACTGAACAGTTTTCACCTGGTTTTCATCATGATCGTTGTCCTATATTCGACGGCTCCGTGGCGCAGTGGCTTAGCAATCAGTTGTTGCGCTGGGGGCCGCGGGTTCGAATCCCGCACGGAACAAGTATTTGTATGGCCTACAAATAATTGTTTGTAGGCCATACAAATACTTGTTCCGGGTCTGGATGTTTGTCCTTGTGCAATTTATGTTTGTAAACTGCCTCCACGACACAGGAGAAAATCCTAGTGTGGGGGTAACGTTTTTAAAAAAAAGAAATATATAAAATTTCCTCGTCTTCAGCTCACCGTCCTTTCTTGCATCTACTTTTGCGGTGAAGTATCCCATCAACACCGTATAATTGGGTTTCGGACAAATGCATGGCTCTAAATCACCTTACAGGATCTTCCCTCAATAAATGCATTTTATTGATTTTGAGTACATACACCTCCGACACTTCGTTGAAACACATGGTCGCCACACCGATGATAGAACAAGTTACCGATTTAGAGGCTTAGCGTGTCCTCCCCCTGTATCTGAACTTCAAGCAAACCTTTGATATCCCATCTTCCACCATGTGTAACTCTTCCTCCAGCTCCAGTAGCTTTTCATCAATCCCTAATAGGCGTGAGTTAGGTCGAGTCGTCGAAGGAAGCAACCGAACCTCCGCTGGAAATTCTTAGTACACCCGACTCCGCCGTCAGCATATTCGCCTTCGTACTCAGTAAAAAGGCCACCGGTGAGGGCTCAGGGCCGGTCTTTTGTCCGTTTCATAGAGGATATATTTGCCATGGTTGCCACGTGTGGTGGCAAATTGGCAACCGCAATTTTTTTAATAAAAAAACGCTCATACAATGTTATAGTTTGTTCCTCTGTCACCTCTTACGATACGGTACGATATGAAGTAGTGGGTATTCTTACGCCACTACATATCATTTTTCCTTTGAGAAAGGTTATAATTGTTTCCTTTGAGAAAAGTTATAATTGTTTCCTTGGAGGTTTTGAAGTTCACGATTGACAGCCTTGCACTGACAAGCGCAGTGTTGGGCGACTCCACAAACGAATGGATCGATGGCCTAACGAAATATGCAGCAGAATAATAAGTAACATCGGAAGCAGATAGCCAAGGTCCATGCTTTGTGAGAATTGAACATAATTTGCAAAAAAAAAAAGGTTTGTAAAATCTTTGAACTAGGATTTGTATCTATTCTTTTAAATGAATTTCTTAAGGCGTTTACCGTCACCTACTTCTAAAGACTATAATCTATCTATACATATAATAAAACTGTAAATAGCAGATGTCTGTACATTTTATATTTTTGTAATAAAAGTGATTGAGGGGTACTAAAAATAAGTAATTAAATACATTTCTACCATTTTTAGAATTTTTTGTCTGTCTGTCTGTCTGTCTGTTTGTTTGTTAACGTATCACGTTTAAAGTACTAATTTATATCATAAGAATTGTTAAGGAAATTCTAAAGTGTACCTTCGGGTTACATTTAGTCTTTATTTCATTAAAATCGGTTCATTCCATCAAATGTTATGATAAATATTCTGAAGTATGGGTAGGGAATTTGCTCAACGGTGGCTTTGTTTGAGTGATCAAGTTGATGTTAGCAGCGCCATCTCTCTTTAATTAAATATATACATATAATAAAAATGATGATAACATGTTGTGTCTCTTTCTGTACATTGTATATATATTTTGGTGACTAAAATCATTATGGGGAACTAAAAATAATTAAATAAGTACATTTTTATAATTTTTAGAATTGTCTGTCTGTCTGTTTGTCTGTTTTTATATGAATGCATCACGTCTAAAGTAAACATCTTTTTTTTTTTTCAAAGAAATCGTTAAGAAAATCATAAAGCGTATCTTCAAGTTACATTTAATCTTTGTTTTATTAAAATTGGTTAATTATATCGAAAGTAATGATTATTATTTTAAAATGTAGGTTCGAATTTGTTCAATGGCGCCATAAAAATCTCAGAAATAGTAATAAAAAGATTTGTGTGTAAAAAAAACGTTCCCTAATAATTAATATATTTATACTTAAAACATAAAAAGAGATTTAAAAAAGGATGTTTTCTCACACAAAGGACGTAATAGATGGAGTTGTACAAATTACAAACTTTTCTGATTTGCTGCGTTGAGATTTTTCGCCGATGAATCGTATTGAGACTTCTGAAAAAATTTGTATCTATCGAAGCCATACAACGGAACCCGAACAAAAATAACAAAATTGCAACGAAATGTCGTGATATTGTATTTATAATATACGCAAAATCAGTACTGCCATTTTAGCGCTTTGGGAACTAGATTTAGCGCTTTTTTGGAATGTATAGCGCGCATTTCGAAATTTTAGCACCTAGCACTTAATCCAGCGCTTTTTGGTGTATTTAGCACACATTTCAAAATTGTAGCGACTAGCGGGTTATTAACTCTTTTATAGCAGCACTGTTAGTCCACATTACCGATAATAATAATAATGACCTTTATTATTAATTTCCACAAATAGTACATTGCAGTTTATCTTTTTCAAACATATTTTTTCGACAAAACAAAGAGCATGGGAGACGAGTCCAAACTAGGATACCCTGTGCTATGGATCTCCCGGCTTCCCCTTTAGGATGATCAACTTGATTTTTTTTATCGACGACTATAAGCGGGGAAATCCCCTTCATTAAAGTTTTCGTTCATGGTTTTGGCAACGCATTTATTTTGCTTTATTCAGTTTTAGTCAGTTGTTTAGAGCACAGCTAAGTTAAAAGTTACTTAGAGTAGTACTAACTACTGTTGACAGCAATTGCCAAAATTATAAGTCGATGTCCTGCGAAGTATTGATACATCAAAAAATATTGCCAGAAAAAAACTTAATGTTGTTTTCTTTATTATAATTATATTTTCTTGAATTATAAATTATAATAAAAAACACAAACTTTGTTTGTAGTTAATTTAGCGCGAAATCTAGGGCTTTTTTAAAGCGCTGTTTTCATGAAATCTAGCGCTTTTTGTGTTGTCCTAGCGCTGAATGAGTTTTTTTGATCTGGCAGCACTGCCAAAAAACCCTCTATTAAGAAGTAACTTTCCTTTCAGTTTTAAGCGCGTTCAGTTCCCAGTTACAGTCAGCGTGTGTTATGAGATGACCGTAAATAAAGCGCAAGGTCAAAATTTACGCGTTGTAAGAGTGGACCTCGGTACTGACTGTTTTGCACATGGCCAACTCTATGTTGCTTTTTCCCGCGATAGTAGCCCCCGTAATCTTTTTGTGTACACCCCGTCTAAGTCTACTTCTAACGTCGTTTACACAGAAGCTCTATCATAAACTACTTAGAACTTTGATGATAATGATTTATTTGTTACCACTTATTGATACAGTAATGATATAAATCATTTAATATTCTCTTACCTAAACGACAAATTCTTTATGTAAAATCTATATACGCGAGCTACGCCGCGGGCACAGCTAGTACACTAATAAAATTAAATGTTATAATGTAGGTAATTTATTTAACAATTAAAAGTTGTGTAACTATGTCAAAAATATAAATAACATAATTAACAGTAACCTTTTTAAGAATATCTAGAATCTTCTTATACATGACTTTAATAGCCAAAGCTGCGTTCTTTTTTATATTGGCACGTTGAACATAATTAGCCACAGCTTGCTCCTTTTTTTCAGCTGGCAGTTTTCCGCTCACCTCATACAGTAGGCGATCATGTAGCTCTGCTGATTCAAGCTAAAGAATTTTTTTAGGAATTTTAATATATTCTGAATGATAGATAGAGACCTACATAATGTTTTAAAACAATGTTATTTGCTTATAAATAATAGTATAATCATATTATATTATAATAATAATATTATATTGATCGGCTTATTTAAATATCTTTTGTACTTGTGTGCGACGAAATTTTTCCATTTTCTTTTTCTTAATATATCTTATTCGATCCAGCTGCTTCCTTTTGTTAAAGTTTTCTTGGTGAATGTTCTCTAAGACTTTCTGAAAATGAAATATAATTAAAAATACGACTTAATGTTAATAAAACTAGCTATAATATATATTTCCGTTAAAATTTCTTTATTCCATAATAAAGACATTAAATACAGTTACTTTTGTCTTTTATTATTTAAACGTTAAATGCAATTTCTTTAGACAGCTTTTGGACGGACATAATTCCAAAACTCCAAAAATATTTGTGGTTTACGAAAACAGTCATATAAATTTATGAATATCTTGGTCTTCTTCATCATCAGTGCGGATAATTCCGAAAATGATGACAATTGCAGTATATTTGTTCTACTCGTATTTGGATAGGTGAGGGGGGGAGGAGGTGCACTAACACAATGTGTATGTGCACAGCTAACAACGACCAAAGTCAAACCTTCATCGTGAAATAGAATAACTATATCAGACGTCTACCACGTCTGAGGCTGCTCATCTATCTGGCCCATCGCCGGTATGGGTACTCTACGCCTGACTTAAACAAGTTAAGTAGTTATACCACTATTTATCGGAGCCGTAAGATATTTTTACCACATCTCATCCTAAGATGTTCACCCGATGAAATAAGGTGATGGATTTCCTAATGCTGCTACTACTAGAAATTATGAGTATATTATATCTTATAAAATGTATTATTATAAATAAATCACTTTTACTTATTACTTAGAATTATATTACTGCAACAAAATTTCTAATTGCAATTATAAGTACCAACCGGTTTGCAACGTAGGTACTCGGCGGTAAAGCAGGCATATCAGTGCTAATTTTTTCCTCTCAGAAATGAGAGGTACCCAACCTTAGGATTGTTTTACATTACTGTTTTTTACTTTTACACTATTTAAAAAAAAAGTTATATATACATAAAAATATAAATAATATACATTATATTCTTATTTTATCTAGCATACAATAATTTCTTCAACTAACAAATTAATAATCATTTCACGAAATAAATTCCCACCACTCAAGAGTAAGATAAACGATTGAATTTTCGAAACGATGAATTTTTGTAGATAATGTTTTCCAAGTTTATTAAGATCAGCAAATGTAATTAAATTTTACTTTGTAGGAGTCATCACTGAAAATATGTATTCACACAAAAAATTTAAATATTTTATAAATCTATCGCTGAGCGAAGATCGGTCAACCAGGTACTCATATTTATGTGAACATTATTGGATGAGCTTATCGATGTGAAATTACAAATTATGGTAAACACGAAGGAGTGGGATTGTAATGGCGGTACTCCAACACTAGGTATTTAAAATGTTAATATGGGCATTTGTCAATTACGATAAAAAAAATAGAGTTTTACGTTCATATCTACAAAAAGTTTTACTATCCCCTCATCTGGCCGGCCATTTATCTTTTTTACACGCCAACTGCCGGCATCCGTACGGGAGGTCGCCCGATACTGGCAGGCGCATTATACAACTCAAACTAAAAACTGCGGTTGCAAACCCGCTTACCAAGCGTCGCAAATAAGGGTTACTGTGAGACAATCTATGGGGAAGGCCCTATGTTCAGTAATGGACTTTCGATAGGCTGTAATGAATGAAAGAGTGAAATATTATGTTGATTATATCATAATTTATTTGATAAATGTTTCTTCTTACATCAGCTTGGCTGTTCATGTATGTCAATTGTAATCGTCTGTGTTCCTGGAAGGCATTTCTTAAAAATTGTTTGTCTCCATACACAGCTACGCCAAGCTCCTGCCTTTTCTTAGCAATATCCTTACGGAGTTGGCGAATGTCACGAGAATAACGTCGTTTTTGCTTCGCTAAATCTCCTTCATGTATCTTGCGATCTCGTTCTTCATTAAATGAAAATACGTAAAAACAAATATAAAAAGTTTATTTATTTATATAGAATAGGACGACAAAGGAGCACACAGACCTCATGGTATGTGGGTGCTATGGCATATCTTTATATATAAAAATTACGTGTCACATTGTTTGTCCGCGATGAACTCCTAAACTACTGAACTGATTTCAATGAAATTTTGCACACTGTGTGCAGTTTGGTCCAATTTGAGAGATATGATAGTTTTTATCCCGATAAGTGACCCTCAATTTTTTTTATTGCTAATTTCTGGAGTTATTTTTTTGGAAAAGCAAATGGTCGTTCGGAAAGGGCAGAACAATGTCTGCCTGGTTAGCTAGTATAGATATATATCTAGCTCTGATTAAAAATCAAAATGTATGTGCATTGTCACCCCTAAAGACTAAGATAGAATGCTTCATTACTAGTGTATATGTTCTTCAGTTATTTTCTATTTTCGGTGCTCTTAACTCTAGCTCTTTACTATACTGTTAAGCTGCTATTTTACGGTCGGTTTACTGTCCACCCTCGGTCGAGTCTACTCATAAATCGCTGAGGCCAATAAATGACTGCAACGTGACGCTATTCTCGCACCGTCTGGGTAACGGAAAGATTTAAATAACGACAATTTATCTTCGGCTTTCTATTCATCTGTATCTTATTCTACAACCTTCTTACTTCTGTTTTTTCTTTACTGTTTTTCCTACTCCTTATAACGATAGTAGGTTTATAATCTTGTTGGCAATAAATTATATATGTAATATACTTTGAAGACAAGTGAAGAACTTTTATTTGCATAGCATCCATGTCACAGCTCTAACAAATTCATATTTAAAGTATTTTTGTTATGAGAAAATAATGTCGATTAGTGAATTTTCATACAGAATAATACTCTCAACTTGAATAAATGAGCGACCCCTCTAGATGAAGTAATGACCTGATGAAACAAGCAGGTCGTCGGTGGACAAAGTGGCTCAGGAACGTACTTTGTAGCACTCTATAGGAGAGGGCTATGTTCATCTGATAGATAATGATTTCTTATATTTACGCGAACACTACACATCTGATCAATCGTCTGATAGAATTATTGAAGCAGATTTGCAACCGCATTCTTACGGATTATATTAAAGCGTCTAAATTAATGAATAGATAACCTTTGTAGTTCAAGGATCTCGGAGTGGATCTCAAACTGAAACGTTTTACGCCAATCTCTAACTGTATGGAGTGTCCTATTACTTATGAAGACAGAAACAGTTAAGAAGCGAGTTTTGAAATAGACCTTAGGTTAAGCAATGGACTAATGCACGCACTTTTTGATCTCTTGATTGCCATAAAATGCAACAAGGTGTTAAGTTCAACTATTTTCAATCGTTTATTTCGTCTATTCACGTTAATCGTCTATTTTCACTTACAGGATTGCAATAAAAAAATGGCCATGCTGCAGCTATATTTTGATAGTAGCACGAATGGGTCGGCTCGACCGGGTAAGAACCATCCTCTCATAGAATACCAGCGTATAACAGCAGCTTTATGCCTAGCTATAAGTACTGATGAGTATCGTTATAATTGCAATTGAAATTACCCTTGTCTTGGTCATAAAGCTTTACCAAAGGTTACAAAAAATTTGCAGGATGTATCATAGTCAAAACATAGAACAAGTCGCTAAACAGATTGCCTGAGCCATCTCGCCTTCGACACTGCTTCCCTTCATTGATTAAAGTATTAAAGCCGTCAACTATTACGATAAACGATAATTCCGCAGTAGCGCATTTATCAAATCTAGCGTAATTCACTAACTACAGCCCATCATCGCTGAACAATAGGCTTCTTTGACTGCCACAAACTACGGTCCTAAGATAACTACACACACGAACACTGCCTCTGCATTGCTCATCGGGCCGTCAATTTAATTATTAGAGCATCGGCTTACAACTCCTAGAACAAGTAAATAAAACAAAAAATGCAATAATTTGGAAAGAAATCTTTACGGATATAATTACTAACCGTATAGCTTAATAAGTCCTCGGTATTGATTGATTTTATCCTTTATCACCCAGTTATCATCTTGCATCCCATGGATGCGTACTTTTGCAGCGGAGAGCATTGTTTTTAATAAATACTTTAAAGAATTATGTTTGAATAAATTTTAACAGGCATTCATAACAAATACTTGACAAGACAATAAAATCACTATGACAACCATAGATGACAACATGAAAACAACTGATGTCATCGATTTTTTTTTTATTTCTTATGCATATACATAGTGCATATAGGTACAGAGATGGTCTTCTCCTTTCTCTTTACTTTTCCTTCACATGCTATGGACAGCATGCTTAGGAGCAATACTTAACCTAACACTTTTAACGGTAGCTGGGCCTGTTCGTCGCTGCTATGTATGCTGGCTGATATGCTGGCTAGTGCTTTTGTCGGCCAAAGTTAAATAAAAAAATACAACATTGAGCTAGCTGTAGTAAAGACGGCGCAAGACGTTTCGATGTGGGCGACCACCTATGGCCTCATGGCCCGATGAGCCTCGCACCCCGAAAGGTTTTCATTCCCGAAATATATTAACGATGAAAAGTCAAGACGTCTATTACATATTCTTATCTATGCTATCTGCAACTTACACTTATTCATGCAAACCATCCAAAATTTTTAGTCTACTTTAAAATTTGGTGTAGTAATATTTGACAGCCATGAAGTGTACTATCTAGCGCCAAATTTCCCATTTCATTTGCTTCACGCTAAGTTCATGTGTTTCAAATCTCAACGGTTGTGGGTCAATTAGATTGCCGCGGGTTATTAATATTTTTATTTATATATAATTATTATTATGAAGTGGTTACCTCGTTTTGCCCAATTAGCAATACGCCGAAGTTGTTTCTGGTGCTAAGCTGCAATTTATCTAAAAAGTTTGTGTGGTTGGCGATGCAGAATAGTATGTAGAAGTCGTTACAGACAAAATTTATTCGAATTGGACAGCTCCGCTGATTCAGGCACGGTCCACTAATTGTTTAAAAACTAAACTAAACTACTAGCTCACTAGGCAGACGTTGCTCTGCCCTTTCCGACGACCCTTCCTATAAAAATCCTTAAATGCGCAATAAAAATTTTTGAGGGTAATTAATCTATCCTATCTCTTAAGTTGGACCAAAATGCACACAGTATGCAAAATTTCATTGAAATCAGTTCAGTATTTTAGGAGTCCATCGCGGACAAACAACGTGACACGTAATTTTTATATATAAAGATTAGAAAACTAAAAAGAAAGCTAACTTTTCTTTTTGCCAGAAATTCGCGTCTGGACAGTGGCAACGACTTTCCACCTGAATTACCTCACTGCGGGAACTCTATGTCGAAGGTTCGAATCACAATTATGGAGGTTCTTAAAACCTTACGGTGTCTAGACGTGAATAAAGCTAGTGGACCAGATGGTATACCAGCTATAGTTCTGAAGGCTTGCGCCTCTGAGTTGTCTCCTGTGATTGTTATGCCTCTAATTTAGAACTGGAATAGTGTCAAAATCCTGGAAGCTGGCAAACGTGCAGCCTGTTCCAAAATAAGACAGCCACGCCGGCCCTGCCAATTATCGGCCATACATACTCTGCAAGACTATGGAGCGTATTATGAACGTACGCTTAATGTCATACTTAGAATAGAATGACCTCCTCAGTTACCGCCAGTACTGGTTTTGCTGAAATCGGCGGTAAGTAACATCCCTATCTTCTAGTGTATGCTACGCACTATGGGGGCGAGGAACTCGACTCGATAGCAAGAGGTTAGTGGTTCTGCATAGGTAGCTGCCTCACGAATAAAGTGATTAGAGTGAGACTCTGAGGCTTTGAAGAAGTTCCCAGAGAGTGTTTTTAGAAATTGTTGGATTGTGGGGAGCTCTAAGTCTCGATGGAGGTCGACGTTACGAACGTACCAGGGTGCGTTCGTAGCTCGACGACAGAAGAGGTTTTGAACTACTTGGAGTTCGTTAATGGTTTTGGGATTATCGTGGGCAAATATGGGGCCCGCGTAAGTCATGACTGGTCTTATACAGACCTTATAAAGGGTTCGCTTGTTGCGGAGGGACATTTTACTGTGTCGGTCCAGCATACTGTTGAGCCTACTCAGGTAAAAACGTGCATTGCGGATGACATGTCGCGCGGATCAGACGCATGATACACGCGAGTGAAACCGCGATGCACAGCTAGTGTTAGATACAATCAAAATCAGTGGTGTGAAATATTTTTTCTTTTGTATATATAAAATATATGCTTTGCTCTTATAATTTTGTCCTGTATATTAATTTTACTCACGATAATATTAAGTCTGGTTTCACCCAATTTCATTTGAGTACTTTTAAGGAGACTGTTTACTTTGCAACCCCCACCCCACTTGCATTCCGCAAACAGTACTGTTATATGAAGTGAAGGGTGGGTTAAATGTCATGTCTTGAATGAAAAATGTAATGAGAGAGTGAGGGCAATGTAGGAGTTAGCAAGTAGACGAGGAGAGCTTCGGAAGCTCTACATCTCTATAGAAAGTATATATCTATAGAAAGTATTTTTTATTTTATAAGTAAGTACTTACTTAATTTTTTTTGTTTTAAAATTTCCGCGCGTCTTTTGTAACCCCGCGCCCCTAGAGTCTAGGTCTAGGGCCTAGACAGATGAGCCTAGTCTGCCTAAAAGATAATCCGCATTATTTTTTTTATGGAATTAGGGTGACAAACGAGCACACAGTCCACCTGATGGTAAGTAGTTGCTGTAGCCCATACACATCTACATCTATCCTTCCTTACGATTTAAAATGCAGATGCGTTGTCACCCGTGAGGACTAAGATGGAATGCCTCGTTTCCAGTAAAAAGGGGTCTCCGGTTCTCTACACTCACCATGCGAAACATAGTAGCATTAAGCTGCTATTTGACGCTGGTATTCTGTGAGAGAGTGGTCCTTCCCCGGTCGAGTCGACCCATTTGTGCTACAACTATACTATTAATATAGCTGCAGCATGGCCGACGTACAATATAGCTGCAGCATAATGTAGATATCGTGCGCGCGTGTGGTACCGGATGCAAAGAATAGAACCTCCTCATCTCTTCTCGTGGGTGTCGTAAAAGGCTACTAAGGGATTCACCCGAGGGAGGAGGGGAACTGCAGCGTTATTTTAGTATTAAACAAGCATACTGTGAAAGGAAAGCATTCCCAAGTAATCTTGAGCAACATAGACATGAGATAGATTGTAGACTATGTGGTTAAAAAGGGGGTAAATACAGAGATTACAGCTGAAAGGGATGTATGGAGAACAACAAGCTACGTCGACGCCTAATAAATTGGGATAAGGTCAGGAGGATTATAATAACGATGCATGCGATCTGATTGACTTCGGGCACTGAGGTAAGAGTACGAAACGCATCAATAATTATAGTAAAGTATGATTATAATGATGTTAGATAACAATTTACACTTTTATTTTTCGTTTAATTTTTCTGTTATTCATATTTTTTGCGTTAATAAGATAGAGTTTTTACCTACACAGTAGTCTGAAGTAAAATTACCTACCAAGAAAATGTTCATTACTTCTTACTTGGGGAACGACTAACATACGTCTTTCTCGCCTCCGACAAACTGATGGTCTTTCACCAGCTTACAATTTCTAGGCTATGTTTCAGTTTCGTTAAATATGTTAGAAAAACGTTTGTTTTGCGTCAAAATTGATATAACTACCTAAACCCCACGCTGTTTACGTTGGGAGCACTTCAATCTTTGCTCAATGATCACAAAAAATTTTAAAATATTTGTTAACTAATAAATTGTTAAAAAAATTGTTTGCACTTCTCATATTTTTAATGACTTTTTTCGAGCATATTTACTTGCAGTAGAAAGTTATTTTTTAGCAATTTGAAGTCGGTTTTTACTATCTGTTAAAAGTTATAATTATTTAGTCTTAGTATAACACGATAATTTTTTTTAATGAAAACGGCTTTTTTATCATTTAACACAAAATCTTCTAAAATTATGATACAACAATAAATTAGATTGATTCAGTATTTTTAATTATTAATCAATTTTTGTCAATAATTTTATCAATATTTTTTAATTATTTAATATTAATGAATTCATTACAATATTAATTTCAATAATTGCAATAATAGTTAGCAGTAGCTAATTATTGCAATTTGCAATTGAAAACAAATTAAAACAAAACGTTGATTTATCATAAAATCTTCTAAATTTTTAATGAAATAACAAATTTAACTAAACTTCTTCTTAAAAGTCTTCTTTCTCACCGTACTACTATTGCAATTTGCAATGGAAAACAAAATTAAACAAAACTGTAATTAAAATCGTCTTAGATTATTGTGAAATAACAATAAAATTTCATGAACCAGTCCTTTCTATCACTCTTGACTTTACTTACCTACTATTATTGCAATTTTCAATAAAAACAAAATTAAACAAAACAATAATGAACTAAATAAACTTTAAATTATTTGTAACAAAAATTAATTAATATCAAGTAATTATTCGCTTGAAACCATCACATGACAAACATAAAAAATGGTTAAATTTAAAAAGCCTAACAAAAGCCGGACAGGCCGGACCATAGATAAATAATATATATGTAGCAAGATAGGCCGGACACCGACTAATTTGGGTTGACACACTCAACCAAAAAGTCTGACGTGTCCGGCCTTATCCGGAAGCTAGGCAACGCTAGCCCCGGTTATAGTCTTATCCCACCTCAACTCATTAATAATTAAAAATTTTGTACACCCGACTTCAATATGAGTTATTAAGAATAACTGAAAAACTATTAGTCTGACCTTGATCAAATTCATATGGGACCAAACGAGAAGTACCAGCTTTCAAATAAAAAAAGAATCATCCAAATCGGTTCACTCAGTAAAAAGTTATGAGGTAACACACATTAAAAAAAAACATACAGTCGAATTGAGTACCGTCTCCTCAGAGTCGGCAGAAAACAGCGCCATCAATGTAAAATGCAAAGTGATGTTTTTCAATCACAGTATAATCTATTATCAAAAAATTGGAGACTATATTATCGGTGATCGTTTATTTCCTGTGTGTGGCTAGGATGTTAATGTG